AAATTGAATATGTTCCTCGTTCCTCGTTGTACCTACCGACATCGCCGCCGGTCTGGTAAGTACTGTCTAATACCTAGTTATAAATTTCTTCTGACCCAAGTATTAAATTGCAATAAGTATTTGTTTTTGTAACAAATTTATTATTAACTTTTTAGGTATTTTTTTCTGCTAATGAGAAGAAGAGACGAGGAGATCGATGGCGCAGGTGGTTAGCGCGTTCGGCTGCGATCGTTGTAGTTAAGCAACTTTCGCAGTGGTCGGTCATTGGATGGGTGACCAAAAATTTCTATCTGGAGTTCCTCCGTACTTCGGAAGGCACATTAAGCCGTTGGTCCCGGTTGCATCTGCAATCGTTAGAACCCGCCAATCCGCACTGGACCCGCGTGGTGGGTCATGGCCCAATCTCCCTATTCCATCCATAGGGAAGGCCTGTGCCCCAGCAGCGGGGACATAAAGAGGCTGATGATGATGAATGACAAGATAACACTTGTTCTTTATTTAAACAAATCTGATATTGTAATATGGCATTTAAGGCCCGTATGAATAGAACGCTCTCAACTCTGAGAGCGATCTTGAGATGCTGTTTTATATGAACACAGTATCTCAAGGTCGTTGTCTCTAGTTCACTGTACTGTACTGTAGATACGCGCCGCGTCAGCTGTGCGCGGTCGTTGCTCCCGGCGTCGGCCCCGCCTGGCCCCATCCACTATTTTTCGTTTATTTTAGTAGTGCTTATTTATTTGTTATATTTCATTTACTATGAATACGTGTTTAAAAATAATTATTACTCAAAAGGAGGAAAGGACATAAAAATGCACAATTAAAAAAAATAAAAAGCAAAAAAATATTTTTAAAACATCCGAAAAAAATCAGGCATACTCTATACACGTAACCCAACAATCTCACGAAGTTTCATTAAAACATTAAAGGTTCTCGCCGGGTTTGGGGCCATCCATAAATTACGTCACACGTTAGTGGGGAGGGAGGGGGTCGACGAAGTGTGATATCGGTGACAAGGGGGTGGGAGAGGTCCTTAATTTCGTGACGTCACATTTCAAAATATCTTATAATTTAAGTGTTTAAACTATAACTTTACGAAAACATTAACAACCCAAACGAGAACAAAGTGATGCTATCCCAGTTATAAATAATCTAAAGGAGTGGGTTCAATGCCCATGGACTCAAGATTATTAAGTTTTTTATCTTTAATATAATTATAATGCTATTAATTTTTTTTGTTGTATTAATTTCTTTAATTAATAAAGTCAATAGTTTTGTTTTGTTAATTTCTTTAATTAATATTATTAATCGTTTTTTGTTTTGTTAATTATTTGATTTGATGTTAATATGATAAAAACAATTTAAATGTAAATAAAACTGATTTCAGAATCGCTGTTTTCATTCAATAATTTCTAAGAGTAAATTTGCAAAATATGTGACGTCACACTAGGGAGAGCAGAGACTTACAAATGTGACCAGCTGTGACTAGGACGGGGGGAGGGGCAAAAAATCATGAAATTCGTGTGACGTTATTTATGGATGACCCCTTTCCATATGAAATCTGCACTGGCGTCTTTTTTGACATTGGTGCCTTTAAGATGTTTCTAGTAGTTTAAAATAATTTTTGGCCAATTATCAAACCCCTAACTCCATTCGTTCGTTTTTGAATAATGAGGGTTGCAACCCCTAACTTCGAAATTATTTTTCTACCAAACTATGATAGATATTCGCATGAAACACGACATGAAAGCTCTTAATGAGCTTTACATTACATATTTTTTTAAATAACTATAGGGCTGCAAAAAAATATAAAAAAATAGGGGTGGTTTTTAGTAGCTATTTCTTGAGGTACACCGACCAAAAAAAAACCGTATAATCAGTACGTATCCAACTATAATATGTAATAATTACATAGATGTGAGATAGGTGGAACAGATTCAAAAAAATAAAAATCTCATTTTGTTACTTAAAATTGATCTAACCTGACGTCTGTTTAGATTTTTCTAACGTCGTATTATGATTAATAAACGCCTTTACAATCTTTTATAATAATTCTGATGTGGTTATTCAAATATGTAACAATATGTTACCGTGTGACTGAACTTGTGAGCGCGCAAAACGCTTGCCGCTGCCGCCGCCGCCCGTTAAACAGATACTAGTTGACACTCGTAATATACCGCGCTATCGACAAGTTATGACAAGTTCACGAATTGCGTTATTTTTATCAGTTAAAGTTAAATAAGGATGAAAGTTCGTTCTCGACACATCAATAGCAAGACATCAATGGTTTATTGAATAAAATATGAACCAAATATGAACAACTATAAGGTCATAAAGAGATACACCTGTGATTGTGCTAATGGAAATAGACTATAGGTTGTTGCTCACATGTAGCATCAATAATTTATTATTTGTCACACGGCTGTTACAAATCAAAGATCATCAAGCCCGCTGAAATATTAACACATATATTTGATGTTACAAATATCACTACAACTATAGAAGAAAATAGTGACGAAGATTAAATTAATTCAATATTTTTATATGGAAAATAAAAGATTAATATTTCATGGAAAATGCTGTTTTAATTTTAATTTAAGTGACTTTTATTGAATTAGCTAAATCATTTGTTTGTTTTCGTCATCATATGAAACATCATATACTAAAATATCACTTACCTAACTAGTTTCAAAATTGAAACTTCGACAGCCCCCCATTTCTTCGTTATTGAAAATAAAAAAAATATATTTTCATCCAACGGCAAAAATATTAATCTGGTATTTAATAAGCGTGGGCTCCAACGACAATAATTCTACTCAACTAGCTCTTGACGACGATATGTCACATGCAGGGATAATTTTTTTTGTCTCCTTTTCATGTATGGGACCCGCCATGGAAAATTTATAGAAAATACCAAAATTTTAGTTCTATAACTCATTCCGTTTACGATCTAAAGACCCGTGACATACGGACAGACAGACAGACGACAGAGTGATAGCAATAGGGTTCCATACCCAAAGGCTATAAATGACTTATATTTTCCATTAGTAGAAAAAATGCCCATGAACTAGCTTTCCGCCCGCGCGCACTATAACTTTACTCCCGCGCTTCAACTACTGTCCCCGTAGCATGAGCACCACAATTTACATTATATCACGTTTTTTATCGCGCTTAAATGTCAAGTAATTTGGCAATTAATTGAGCGTGATAAAATCGAGCTATTTGTCATATCGCGGTGCTCATATACCTAGTCAGGTCATAAATTCTGTCACATGTTTAATATAAAATAATTGAAACAAGTTAATTCATTATGTAACCATTTATATACCAAAATGAACTTAACAAAACATAGATTCTTCAATCTGCGCGGCCAGTCGTCTATCGCAGCACGAACGAGGTCCATGTCAATATCGGCGGCTGCCTTAATCAAGGATGTCTTGAGTGACTCCAAATTGGGATGAGGCTTTGAGCACGCCTTTTCCTCCGAGTGTTGCCATATCTTGTAATCTAACGGACTCAAATCTGGACTGGAGGAGGGCCAGTCTTCGTGCCGGATGAAGTCGATTTCACGCGCCGCCAGCCAGTCTTGTGTGCTCTTCGCTCTATGAGCTGGCGCCGAATCTTGTTGGAATACCCAGTGCCTGTTATTGAACATGGTATGAAAAACAGGTTCCACAAGATTCGTCAGGACTGTATTTTGATACACAACTGCATTCGTTTTTACACCTTTCTCACAAAAATGTAACCTCTGTTAAGCCCCAATAAGAAACTCCCAACCATACCATAAGCGAGGATGGAAAATGACCTTGTTGGACACGAGGAATACGGTTGCTCGCTTCTTCACTACTGTGTGCGTACACCTTATCATTTTCACCGCTTCAACAAAGCGCGGCATCTCTTCAGTCTCAAACGATGTCCTGTTTTGCTTCGATATGCCCGAAGCCCTAAGTCTTCATTTAACACCCTTTTCACCGTGGTTCTGCTTAACCCCATCTGAAGGGCCAACAGTTTCTGCTTACGTTTGGAATTTCTTTGAATTCGCGCCTTCACAGCTTTTATCACTGCTGGAGTCCTAACAGACCGAGGGCGACCACTTCTTGACCTGTCATCTACACTAGAGTCTTCATTGTATTGTTTGATGGTACGATAAACGAATCTTTTGGTTATATTCAAATTTTTCAGTATGTCAAAAATTTTAATTGACGCGTAACCGCAACGATGCAACGCAATAACTGCAACACGGTCTTCTTTAAGCGTCCACACCATATTTAAAAATGAGTAAAATTCTAAAAAGTATATATTTTTATTTTCATGAACAATTCGAAATTCGAATTCAATAAACTTTTTTGTGGCCAGCATTCTAAAAGAAAAGTTTTTGCTGTGTGACAATACTTATGACCTGACTGTGTATATTTATTTATTTATTTAATTCTTAATGCACAATTGTACAATGGCGGACTTAATGCCGTAGGCATACTCTACCAGTCAACCATAGGGTGTTGATTATATACATATACATACATTTATATATTTATACACATACGTAAACATATCGTTCTAAGTAACCAAACCAATTTCCATATTAAGAATTTTAAATAAGACTATATTTCTATAAAACGTACATCCCACCCAGTATCACCCCAAAGAAAGGATTTAGAAAATGTTGAAACAGATCATTATTGAATTATAATCAACTAGCTGGCGTCCGCGACCTCGTTAACTTTAGTTTTTAGAGAATCCTCTAGGAACCTTAATTTTTCCTGGATAAAAAGTATCCTATGTCTCAATCCAGCTAATAATTCTGCTTAATTTCGTCCAAATCCGTTCACCCGTTTTTATATGATTTAGGGGATGATTTAGTTTTTAAAACTCAAAAACTTTCACATCCCACTAATAAGCTAAAGTTTGCATGAATGTTTGTTATGATCACTTACATAATAAAAATATGTACCCAAAAGATATCTCAGTGCACAGCCATATATTTCAGTTTATCATTGCAGTATTACCAGTGTTACCGCTACCGACACCATTACCATCTACATTGAACAATAAATCGCAACTGTTTCACCCGAGAGTTGCAGAAGAGGCAGCCATTTTACTTGCTACCCGAGATGATAACTTAGTTTCATTACTGATACAATCCCTTATGCAAACCTCTGTTCAACATATGTGAGTATTTTAGCGATGTAAAAAATATAAAAAAGGATCATAGACTTCAGTATACATATAGTAAAATTTGTCATGAGGATAGTAATAGTTTGTCAAAACAATAATGTAGACCAATCCAATGATAAATAATGTCATTCAGTCAAATAAGCTATGGGAGTCTTAGTTAATTATATAAATTTGTTTATTTCAATTAATCTTTGCTACTCTACTATGCCTTAAAATATATAGCGACATGTTATGTTATGTTATCCTAATATATATTCTAATTGTCTCAATATATGGAAAGTCTATAGGAACGTAAACTAACATACATTCTGCTCAACATTCCCTATTTAGTTCTTACATTAATATAAAAAAACCTTCTTCTATTTTACAGAGATCTAAAAGATGAAAGTATTCCAAATGCTGTCAGCCCTGCTCCACAACAATCTACACCTGAACTACTCAAAGCCATTCTAAGTGTTAATCCCAATGTGTTTGATCAGCAACAAAGAAATCACTGGAATAACCATTTACACACAGCCAAGTATAATGGAATATCACCTAATGATTCGTATAATTATTCAGCACATAACACTATAAATTCAAGTCCTTCGGCAATCCATTCATCGACCATTCCAAACCAGCAACTTCTAACGACACCTTGTCAATCATCTCCAAATGTGAATATGGGATCTCCCCCTTCACAATCTAGGCCTGGTCAAGTGAATATTAATGCTCAGAATAATGTATCGCCTATGTGGAATAATGCAAATGCTTCTAATGCCTATTCGAGCTCAATATCAAACGCATTGGTCCCAAACTCACAAAATGGCGGTTTCTACAATAGCTTAACACCAGACAATACAAGTGTAACAAATTTGACTGAGGACAAAGATCCACTATCTATGTCACCAACAAATACTTCTGACCAACCAAGAACTATTTTACAGGCGCAAGAAAAAGCATTCGGACAAGGTAAGTAAAAATATACTGAAAAAACATAATGAAAATTATTTATTACGTTAAACTTCATAATTTCGTTAAATTTTTAGACGGCAATGTAGTAACTGGTCAGTCGCCAGCACAAGCCAGTGTCGCTCCGTCGCCATTGCGTCAAGAGCCCCATGTGCCACAACCATCCATGGGAGCGCCATATGCACCGCCACAAGCTCAGTCAGACAAGCAAGACCCTACCAAAAGCACTAAAACTGCAAATAACAGATTCCCCGTTGTAAAAATCGGGCGTCTATCGGTAACAGTTATATTTTCCTTATCGGATTCGTATTATACATAAACTCAATATTTTATCTAAACATTAATTCTTGTGCATGATTTTAGGAAGGAATATTGAAAAAACATGAAACAATTAGCGAGGATAGGTCCAGAAAAAATAGTACAGTCGAGTCTGATTCAGATGATAATTTACCACTGAAAGCTAAATCTGGTAATGCTAACGTACCTGTAGACAAAGAAAGGGAAGCGATAGATATAGCTCGTGAGAAAAACTGGGAAGCAGTGAAAAGGAAACATGAAGAAGCTAGTAAAAAAGAGGAGGCTGAAGCTGCTATTGGTAAGTACAAAATAGAAAGTCCTATTATAACTACTTTAAATAAAAATTAGTACTACTTATTAGCTTTTAGATTTTTATCTGCCTTCTATGTAATACTGATATTTTCTTAAATAGCTGGTGATACTGATATTTTCTTGATGTTTGTTTTACAGTTCGCCCTAAATTAAGAAAAGTGGAAAGAAGACTAGTTCCTGTACTGGAAATGTTGTCTGTTGATGAATTAATGGAGACAAATACGTATCAGCGTTTTAATAAATTAATTGAATCAGTATTCGAAACTATAGATGACGATGTTATAATCACTGATGAAATGGGTAAATTTAAAACATATTTGAATATCAAATATGATTTATAATTGTACCCGTTATGATACTTTCATGGTAATATATTGTGTTTCCAGAGGGAACAGATATTCCAGAAGATTTATTATTACAACGCTATCAACTTCAAGAGCTGTGTTCTGAAGCAGCTAAACTTAAGAATCTTGGTGCTATGGAAGCAATTCCTTCTGACAGATTAGTTCGTTTGCTAAATATATTGGAAAAAAATATTAGAGCTGCTGAAAAGATGTCGTTGGTCGGAGATCCGGTATGTTCGTAAACATTCGCATATATTTGTTTTAGACACAAATTTTAAGTGAATTTATTAAATTTTTCAGGAAGACAGTGAGGAAATGCGACAGATATGGTTGGAGTCAGCTTTAGAAAGAGTGATGTGCGCATCGGACGCGTGTTTGACTGCTTTGTACATAATGACCTCACCCAGTATGCCTAAACGCGTTTTTTTAGAAGACGTAATAGATAGAATTATAATGTTCATAAAATTCCAGCTAAACAATACAATATATTGTGTTTACGATCCTGTATATAGTATTCAAACCACATCTAAAAAGAAAGGTAATTATTTATTTTTTACTTGCATATACAGTACAGTAATAAATGCAAAAAGTTAAAACAGATTTTTATTCGCCAGTATATTTTAAGGTGTAATATTAAATTCTTACATTATCCTTTTGAATAATAGAGTTTGATGATTTTTGTCTCCCTCGAGCAAGCGTACAGCGACCGCTCTCTTTTATCTGTGTTTTTTGGACAGAGAACGAAATGAGCATTCCCTAACCGCTGGGCAGGTGTGTGTGTGAGAGACAAAGTGTTTGGGTTACGTACACTCGCATTGACAAATCTCTAGAAAGACATAAAATTACCAATACATAGACGTACTTATAGCTATCTCTCACACACTTATCCGCCTAGTTTCATTTAAAAGTTTGTAAGGGAACGCGCAGTTTATATCATATGTCTATGGGTCGCCGCACACACCACCACCGGCCAAAACCATAAAACGCCGCTACCGGCACATTCCTGTAGTTTTCATACATTTATATGGGCTCGCCGCACACGGTTAACGCCGGTGGCCGCCTCACGCTACAAATCGTCGTTGCTCGTTTCTTGTGGCCCGCACCAGCCACTAATGCGCCGGTACAAACCGCCGCCACACGCCAATCGCGCGATACCCCACCTTCAAACCTTTTTCGTCAGAGTCCATTATGATACTGCACGCATGTGTTCAAAAAAGTAGCGGCCACCGACGGCAAGTGTCGAACACCGGCCACAAGTGGCTGTCGCGCGCCTTAGCTACCTTTGTAGCCGCTTCTAGCTTCTCGTGGCGGCGTTTGTGGCTGTCACGTGTGGCCCGTGTGCGGCGACACTATGAGTATTTTATGGTTTTAGTGGACGGACGGAAGAGACGCGGCGGCGGGGCGAGCAATCCTACCAGACGCGGCGGTAGTGGAGGGGGCGGGTCGACGCGCGCCGTGCGTGAACTGTACACGCACGCGCACGAGTCCGTCACATTGTTAGCGGAGCTACTGGGCGCACACCACCTGACAGACACGACGGTGCTGCACGCCTCCACCGTGGGCGTCTCGCCGTTCTTTGTGGAGAATGTGAGCGAACTACAGCTGTCCGCGCTCAAGCTCGTCACCACGGTGAGTGCTGTTCGAATACTTTGCTTAAAAGATTGTAGAGCGCGCACGATTGCGTCATATTGTTAACGGAGTTACTGGGCGCGCACCACCTGACAGACACCACGGTGGTGCACCCCTCCACCGTGGGCGTCTCGCCATTCTTCGTGGAGTAGATGAGCGAACTACAGCTGTCCGCACTCAAGCTCTTCACCACGTTGAGTCTTCTTCAACCATTGTCTACCCACTGCTGGGTATAGGTCACCTCCATGCAACGCTAATTTGCTCGGTGTTGTGATGTTGCCATCCAGATCGAGTTCCCTCTAGAGTAACCACGGTAAGTATTGTTCAAAGTTTGTTTTTAAGGTCAACTTATAGTGGGCGCGCACCACCTCACTGACACCACGGTGCTACACGCCTCCACCGTAGACGTCTCGCCGTTCTTCGTGGAAAAAACGAAAAATTTGAGCGAACTACAGCTATCCGCGCTCAAGCTCGTCTCCACGGTGAGTGCGGATCACAAACTTTGCTTTTAAAGTTAACTTATTGCGTCACACTGTTAGCTGAACTACTGGGCGCACACCACCAGACAGACACCACGGTGCTGCACGACTCCATCGTGGGCGTCTCGCCGTTCTTCGTGGAGAATATCAGCGAGCTGCAACGCTGCGGTACGTGATGTTTTTGCGCGCGTTTAAATCTAAACTCATAACCACGTCTAAATAAAAAAGCAGAAATTTTTGTATCATAATAACGGTCGATAAAAAACAGTCACGTGGTCATACAAAATATGTTATAAATAATGCCACAATTACATTTGGTAGTTAGCCCGTATTCGGGTGCACGAAGGACATTATTCGAATGCGGGCGCGCGAAACAATATTTACACTGAAATACGGGCTGGAAGACGGTGTCGGGTACTCGATTCCGTTGGCGACGGCGCACTGTGGAATATTTCGGTGTGTTTCGGATTAAAAATCTGTAACTCCGTCAATTTGAAAGATAGACTTATAAAATTTTGCTATAATATAAAGTGATACATAAGGATTCATATAAGTAATGTTTGATGAATTGGAATTATGCGTATTTTTTTTAATTAAAAAAGAAAAGTCACAAAATGATTTAAAATAGTATTATTAGTATTATTTATTTATTGAAATATTTTTGGAAACATATTGTACGTCTATTTCTTAATGCTAATTACTCTATTAAGATAACTATCATATTATATTGATAATATAAAATTAAAAATGGTAAAATATTTTTAACACTACGCTAACATACAGAAACAAATCAAAATTATCGCAATATATATTTCTTTTTTTTTGCTCAGCAAGATTGACATCTTACACCCGGTGAGCTTCAGGATCTGAAATAAGTTCATTAACCTTGAGAAGGTGTAAAGTATCTTCATCGAGCTCCTTAACATTTTTTGCATATGGTTTTCTTATGCTCGTTATATATGGATCTGAAGTGTAAAGTAGTGTATTAACACACCTTCGTTTGTAGCTATTCGAGAGCATTTCCGACCATGGTGTAAGCGAAATTTTTTATAGTCCTCAAGAATCTCGCTTGAGCATCTTCTGAAAGTTGCCCAATTGGTAATACCGCGAAATGGTTTATGATACTCTCTCCGTGAATTAAAATTTTGTGGACAGATGATGGCATATAATACCAACTATATTTACTAACGTATATTCTTGCAGTTTCCAGAGCATAATTACCAAATTTCTTACTATCTACCGCTATACCAGATGACAAAGCCTGCAAAATTATATATAACCGTTTAATTAAATCAATGTCAATCCCTGTGATATCAGCAGAACAGGCAGCATTGTAAAAAAATCTCCTAACAGTATTGCCATCTCTCTGCATCAGCCAACCTTAATTTTTCAACAACTTTTGCTTCAATTCCTTCTCCTATAGAACGCAATCCTTGAAGATATGCGCTTAGAATGTGCTCCAAACCATATTCATTTAGCAAAATGGTGTTTTTTTCTTTTTTTGCTTGATTCTGAAGAGTCTCCATATGACACACACGGTCTTCCTCGTTTACCAGAAAAAGTAGACGGTGTAGAGTCTGTTGACACGTTTCCTGATGTTGGTATAGTGAACGAATATTCAGAATCCAACCAATTGGTGTTCTTTCTTAAAAAGGTATTTTTATTGCGTCCTGCTTCACTCCAGCGTTTATTAAACGAACGGATGACATCCCTTTGAATATGGTCAATAATAAAACATATATTGACATCCGAAATTTGTTTTCCCTCCAAATATGTTGAAAGTGCCGCAGTCGTTTTTCCGCCTTCTATATAAGACACTATTAGCTCACGTTTAGTACAGTTAAAAGTAGACATGTTGAATAATGAAATAACCGTACCTTCTAGAGTACGTAGACGTAAAGACCACTGAAACGGTAATGGAGACATATTTTTTTCACTGCCCTTTTTATATTGTTTCAGAATGTGGGAATTATTTCAGATATCTATTTTCTCACGGAAAATGACATCGAAATGATAAAACCTACATAACAATATCAAATAATTAATTCATAAAATGTACCACAAACTATTGATAATAAAAGTAAACTACGAAACCGCATTTGATAGCGATTTCCGTTCCCAGACTAGTATTCGATTTTTTCACATATCTCCGAAAACCGCAAAAAGCCGCAGCTAATTTTTTTATATGTTTTAGATGAGTAACTAACCTATAATTTAACATTAAATTCAAAGCATCGGTAAACAACTCTAAATGTTAAAAGATTCGACGAAGTTGAGGAAAAAAAAATATTTCTCCATTTTTTCTTTAAATTGGTTTTTAAATTTATATTCGTATTAAAAACAATCAATTGTATTTATTTCAAACCTCTGATAAATGTGCTTTTCAAAAATATATAATACCTTATACCTTTCATTTCAAGTTTTAAAACTATTTCACGTTGAAAAACGTAAATGAAGAACTTAATATTTCCCAGCTGCCTAAACGTTTAACTTTGCTACATGAAATAAAATACTTTTACGAAATAAAATATGAATTACGCTGCAGAATATTAAACTTCGACTTTTGAACTATTAAATTATATTCATATATTACCCAATTTCAATCAGTAATAAAAATCAATTTTGATATGCGTTTGTTCTACCATATTCCACAGTGCGGCGACCAAATGTAATCGCGCCATAACGCCACGTTGCAGAAAGAGCACGTACGTGACTCAAAAATAATTGGAATGTAAAAGCAAGCTGATGCATCTAAGATACGTATGTGCCTTGCTAAAACTTATGCTTGTGTGAATCTTAGGAGTAGGTAAAGTAATGCCCTACCTATAGACACAGTATTACCATAAAAAGGGTATGCAAAACTGATTTTGTAATTGGGGGGTAAAAATGTGGTAACGACTACATGCTACCTTAAACCATTAGACAACCAGCATTTTTAAAAGCACAAGTCACGCAACACCCTATTTAATAACAATTTTCTTCACAGATATTCACAAAGTACGAGCAACATCGACGACTTTTATTAGAGGATATTCTAGCATCGATAGCGCGTATACCAAGCTCGAAGCATAATCTACGTTCATTCCAGTTGAGTTCCGATCAACACATACAAATGCTCACGGCACTAGTGCTTCAATTGGTTCAGTGCGTAGTCACTTTACCTGAGTCCATGTGCAAATCTCAAGACAAAGACAAGGAACATTCGGAAACGGATAGCAAAAAAGTAAGTGCATAAATAACTAAAACGCAACCTAATATTTATATACTGCCTAAAAGGAAATTTAGAAAAGTAAACAAACCAAACCCTTTTCTTAATTTGTTACTGTTATTAGGCAGTTCCACTTATTTTCACGGAAGGGATTATTAACATGATTATGATAATTTTTAAAGTAAATAAAAATGAAATGTTTGATAAATGTACATTTTATTTATTTAAAGACTTTTCTAGAAAAAAATCCACAAAGACCAAGTGTCAGGCTGGATTGGAATGGAATCAAGTAGAATTTTTATTTCTAAAATATTTTAAGAATAGAGATCTAGCATATATGAGGGGGGATTTTAAATACGCGGAATAAAGAATATGATATACTTATTATTAGTTTTAACGATCAACCTCCAATAAAAGATAAGGATAATTTGGTTCCGTTACTTAGCAACAGTTGTTATTATAGTCTTAGTAATAAAAATATTTTGGCACCAAAACTAGTAGACCTACCTCTTACTGGAGTTTGGTTATTGAAACTGGCCGTGTATGTATCAGTATTTTGTATTCTATCCAACGATATTAAATACTTCAGATACACCAACACGAACAAAATCGTGCCCGATACCTGTCTAAAATGTACTTTGGACGATACACGGAGCTCCGGAGATGTGGACGGAGATGATATCGTAGTCAAAAATAATATAAGGTATTATTTAAACATTGAAAGTCTTATTAATGCATACAGTATAAGGTCTTAGTTATAACTTATGCGACAAAGATTTATGACAGTTCGAAATGCAGGCTCGTAAAATTTTACGACTTATTGCTATATGCGAAAGAATATAGACCTTGATTATTAGTCTACGCGCAGTTATGACTGCGCTGTTAGCAGCAGGTACAGACCGCGAGGAAAAGAGACGGTTATATTGCCAACTATATCTTGAACATCACAAATATTTTCTATGAAATTAGTTTTTGATAGGTATTATAACAAAATTTTCTTCAAATGCGTTTAATTAACATTAATTTTGGATACATGACGAATAAACGAAACTTTACATTACTATAATTATTTTTCTCACATTTTTGACGGAGCTCTGCGGCAACTTGATTTTTCAACGGTCGGCGCGTGACTGTGAACCAAGAATTACTTGAGTCGTGTTCAAGCACTTCTTGATTGGGGCACATATTGAGCGGACGTGGTGTATCTAGGGTATTTAATATCGTTGATTCTATCTGTTACTCTAGTATTCCATAAGACAAGCCTTACAGTTACTTTGGGGCGAGGCTAATTGGTGTAAATTTAGGAAATAGGTACTTATTTATTTATATCTTTCACAGCAAATAGACAAGGATCTGATGATAATATCGAAGTACGAGGCGGCGATCAGCGTCGGCGGCACTTTCCTCACGTCGTTCCTGAACAAGTGCCGAAGCCGCTCGGAGGAGGTCGACTTCAGGCCCCTGTTCGAGAACTTCGTGCACGACCTGCTGACCACCGTCAATAAACCCGAGTGGCCCGCCACTGAGCTACTGCTCAGTCTACTGGGGACGATGCTGGTATGATATTGAATCTTTTTTTGGGTTATACGCATTTTACTTCGTTAAGTTCCTTTCTACCATTTATGTATTCCAAGTTTTTTGCTCCGTCATTTTTCATAGAGTTCTTTATTGCACTGTTATGCCGTCTGTGTCAGCCGTCTCATTTGAGCAGATCTTATTTTCTGTGACGATGTAATTCATAAAGAATGTAAATGTATAAAATTAATTCCTATTTCTTTTTGTCACGCCAAAACTCGAGAATGTCTTAGCAATTTTTTACCTCTTTTTTCAAGAATTCTATTCTAATACTTCGAAGAAGTTTTTACGGTAAACGGAAAAAAGATAATAAAATTGACCTAAATTAAAGTGGAAGCTAGTTTTTAATAGTTTTCTTAAGTCTCTGTCTCCTAGCCCTCTGGCTAGAAGTCTTTGACCCTTCAAAGACTGTATGTCAACAAAAATGTTTTATTTCCTCTTAAATTTCAACAATGTGTTCGTTCCTAGGTGAAGTACATGTCGGACAAGTCAATGGAGATGCCGGTACGCGTGGCGTCGCTGGAATATCTAGGACTAGTAGCGGCACGATTGCGGCGGGACAGCGTGCACTCGCGAGCTAAACTAGCCACCATGGACGCCGTCGTGAGAGACATACGGGCCGAGGAGGAGAAGGACGGCAACCAGACGCAGGTGAGGCAGTGACATTAGTCTCGGTAGGATAATTAATAGCAGTGGTCTATAATACCGATGGACAGCGTGCACTATCGAGCTTAACTTGCCACCATGGACGCCGTCGTGAGAGACGTACGGGCCGAAGAGGAGAAGGACGGCAACCAGACGCAGGTGAGGCAGTGTCATTAGTCGCGGTGGGGTAATAGTAGTAGTCTATAATTCCGGTGGACAGCGTGCACTCGCGAGCCAAACTAGCCACCATGGACGCCGTCGTGAGAGACATACGGGCCGAGGAGGAGAAGGACGGCAACCAGACGCAGGTGAGGCAGTGTCATTAGTCGCGATGGGGTAATAGCAGTGGTCTATAATACCGGTGGACAGCGTGTACTCTCGAGCCAAACTAGCCACCATGGACGCCGTCGTGAGAGATATACGGGCCGAGGAGGAGAAGGACGGCAACCAGACGCAGGTGAGGCAGTGACATTAATCGCGATGGGGTTATAGCAGTGGTCTATAATACCGGTGGACAGCGTGCACTCTCGAGCCAAACTAGCCACCATGGACGCCGTCGTGGGAGACATACGGGCCGAGGAGGAGAAGGACTGCAGCCAGACGCAGGTGAGGCAGTGACATTAATCGCGATTTGGTAATAGCAGTGGTCTATAATACCGGTGGACAGCGTGCACTCTCGAGCCAAACTAGCCACCATGGACGCCGTCGTGAGAGACATACGGGCCGAAGAGGAGAAGGACGGCAACCAGACGCAGGTGAGGCAGTGACATTAATCGCGATGATGTAATAGCAGTGGTCTATAATACCGGTGGATAGCGTGCACTCGCGAGCCAAACTAGCCGCCATGGACGCCCTCGTGAGAGACATACGGGCCGAGGAGGAGAAGGACGGCAACCAGACGCAGGTGAGGCAGTGTCATTAGTCGCGGTGGGGTAATAGCAGTGGTCTATAATCAGCATCAATTGTGATGTAAATTTATGTAATACAATAGTTTTCTATAATAATGTGTAAGTTATAATTTGTACTCAGTCGCTGTACCATAAATAAATAAAAATAAATAAATCATTATGTATGAAAATCATTTTTATCGTACCAGCAGCCCTGGCATCACCTACGATTGCAGCAATGCCGCACGGCTACGAATCGATAACAACTCTATAGTCGTGCGCATTAGACACGCAGCGTCTGCGGGAAGTAGGCTAATGTCACTGTAGGTATACGACTTTTTGTAGGGAGTGATTTATCTGTTACATAGTAACTATTAAGTCATCCGCGATGATACTTCTAATATTTGGGTTATTGCAATAAGTGTGGCCTAGCCTAGGCTGGGCACATAAGTGCCGCGGTAGGGTAATAAACATTATAGTGTGCACCTTCAAGGGACAATTATTTGTTCGATTCTTTTGTTTATTTAGATTAGATTGACATACTTAATAACTCTCGACTTCTAGTAAATAACGGTTTTAAAATATTTTATGTACCTACTATGTATTTTTATTAACAGAACATCACATCCGGTCTCGATGAAGATGAAGAGAGAACTGAATTTCTACAAAGAGTATTACTAGATTACTTGGCAATAAATGGGCAAAAAGATCAAGCCTGGACTTGCGCGCGATATTTCTATATCACTCAGTGGTACAGGGATCTAGTCGTGCAACCTAAAAGCACGTCGCCCACCAAGAAAACAAAAAATAAATCTAAGAAGAAGTACAAAGACGAGAGCAGCGAAGAGGAATCGGACGCCGACGAAGACAGCGACGGCGGCGTGAAGGAGTCGAAGCACGACAAAAAACTTGCCATGACTGCCATTATGTCAGCGGAGAAGTTCAAAACAATCGAGAGGCGGAAGGCTTTCTTCCTGGAGAAAATCCGGCCGTTCAGGTACCAAGGTGGTACGCAGGTGCAGGTGATGCAATCGTACATCGACTACAGCGGAGCGGAGTTAATATCACAGTATTTAGCTTCGAAGCGATCGTTTTCGCAGAGTTTCGATAGGTATTTGAGGAAGATTTTGGTGATTCTGTGCGAGAACACAATAGCGATTCGGACCAAAGCTATGAAGTGCTTAGCGATGATAGTGGAAGCGGATCCAGCGGTGCTGGCTAGGCAGGACATGCAGATCGGCGTGAACCGTTCGTTCCTGGACCAGTCGACGGCGGTGCGCGAGGCTGCCGTGGACCTCGTCGGCAAGTTCGTCTTGAGCCGGCCCGACCTTATCGACAAGTACTACGGAATGCTCTCCAATAGAATACTTGTAAGTTGCTATGTCTATTTTACACACACTTAAGATCGTTTTGGAAAGCGAATGAATTTATAGTTTTTTTTTAATTTGTAATTTAATGGTATTTTTTTATATTGTTTTAAACTTTCATGGTCACTAACATTATAGCTACTAACGGGATTGTTACCATGTACCTTGTTTTTTATGAGTCTCCGATATTTCGGCACTGTTGCATGCGCCATGATCACGGAGTAACTGAAGTAATTGCGGGTAGATGTAATTGGCAGACATATCGGTCTACCCTCTGACGTCTTCTTTTACTGCGCTCGATACCCGTACCACTGGTCACATTTTCACTATTCACTCGCACTTGTTCCCGACACACAATACTCACAGTATCAGATCGCGGAACGACACTTTTTTGATTTTTGCGGTTTTTACACATACGAACCACTGGATCCCAAACATTTGACAATTTAAACCCATCCTCACGATTGAAATTCTTGTGTTTGGTTATTTCAATCGCTTCCCTGACCAATCTTGGTATGTAGTGGCGGTCTGTCGAAATAATTTGTGGATTATGGAGCTCAATCCAGTGATTAGGACCCGAATCAATTAAATGTTCCGCGATGGCTGATTTTTGCGTATCATTATTTCTGACTGCTTTTATGTGTTCTTTCATTCGGCACGCTATTGTCCGCTTCGTTTGGCCAATATACGAACTACCACAGCTGCAGTCAATCTTGTACACACCAGGTTTCTCCAAGGGGAAGTTGTCTTTGGGAGACCGTAGAATCTGTGACACTTTTTGTAAAGGAGTGAAGACAGTATTTAGTGAGTACTTATTAAGTATGTTCGAGATCTTGTCTGTCACTCCTTTGATATATGGCAAAAATAGTGGTTGCCTGTCTATTTTGTGTTTCTGGTGTTTTAGTTTGTGTTTCTGGTGTTTTAGTTTGTGTTTGGGTGGAAACTTTCCCGTGTATCCATTATTCTGTAAGACCCGCCGTACATGCTCCAACTCTTCGTGCAGGTGTTCCTTGTCACACAAGTCATATGCACGGTTCGTTAGTGAAGTGACTACAGAATTTAGATGTTTAGGGTGGTGATGCGAGGAGGCGTTGAGATAACGGTCTGTATGTGTGGGTTTGCGGTGAATGGAATGACTCAGCGAACCGTCATTCCGCACCCGAATCTTCACATCAAGAAAGGCCAGACTTCGGTCTTCTTCCATCTCATATGTGAACCGCATTTTGGTATGGAATCCATTTAAATTTGCCAAATGAGCCTCGACATCTTCTTTGTTTCCTTTTAAAATACGTCATCAACATACCTCTTCCATAGTGCAATTTCTGTGGGGGCGGTGGCGAAAGCTTTTTCCTCAAAATACTCCATCCATATATTGGCAACTACTGACCGTTGAACTGACAGTTCATAACAGAACCCAACAGCGAGGACTGATCGAAGCACTCGCTCACTTATAAAAGAATGTGCCTACGCTCTAGACGACGATACCGTCAAATATTTGCTACGTCCTAGAAACGTCCGACCTCCAAAACTCTGGTCAATGGTCTGCCTAAGATACATAAGTTGAATGTGCCGCTACGTCCGATTGTGAGTCAGATAGACTCACCTACGTATGAACTGGCCAAACACGTAGTAAAAATATTGCAGCCGTTAGTGGGACGAACATCGTCGTTTGTAAAGGATTCCCGCCACTTCGTAGAAATCTTACACCAAAACAAGGTTGAAGACAATCAATTGATGGTTAGTTTCGACGTGGAATCACTTTTCACAAATGTACCTGTGTTGGACTGTCTGGAAGTAGTAAAGGTGAAGTTGCAAGACAATGGCATCCCGACAGAATATGCCAAGTTTTTACATCATTGTTTGTCGACGAACTTCTTTATATACCAGGGTCAGTACTATTTCCAAGTCGATGGGGTGGCAATGGGCAGTCCGGTAGCTCCAGTAGTTGCCAATATATGGATGGAGTATTTTGAGGAAAAAGCTTTCGCCACCGCCACAGAAATTGCACTATGGAAGAGGTATGTTGATGACGTATTTTGTATTTTAAAAGGAAACAAAGAAGATGTCGAGGCTCATTTGGCAAATTTAAATGGATTCCATACCAAAATGCGGTTCACATATGAGATGGAAGAAGACCGAAGTCTGGCCTTTCTTGATGTGAAGATTCGGGTGCGGAATGACGGTTCGCTGAGTCATTCCATTCACCGCAAACCCACACATACAGACCGTTATCTCAACGCCTCCTCGCATCACCACCCTAAACATCTAAATTCTGTAGTCACTTCACTAACGAACCGTGCATATGACTTGTGTGACAAGGAACACCTGCACGAAGAGTTGGAGCATGTACGGCGGGTCTTACAGAATAATGGATACACGGGAAAGTTTCCACCCAAACACAAACTAAAACACCAGAAACACAAAATAGACAGGCAACCACTATTTTTGCCATATATCAAAGGAGTGACAGACAAGATCTCGAACATACTTAATAAGTACTCACTAAATACTGTTTTCACTCCTTTACAAAAAGTGTCACAGATTCTACGGTCTCCCAAAGACAACTTTCCCCTTGGAGAAACCTGGTGTGTACAAGATTGACTGCAGCTGTGGTAGTTCGTATATTGGCCAAACGAAGCGGACAATAGCGTGCCGAATGAAAGAACACATAAAAGCAGTCAGAAATAATGATACGCAAAAATCAGCCATCGCGGAACATTTAATTGATTCGGGTCCTAATCACTGGATTGAGCTCCATAATCCACAAATTATTTCGACAGACCGCCACTACATACCAAGATTGGTCAGGGAAGCGATTGAAATAACCAAACACAAGAATTTCAATCGTGAGGATGGGTTTAAATTGTCAAATGTTTGGAATCCAGTGGTTCGTATGTGTAAAAACCGCAAAAATCAAAAAAGTGTCGTTCCGCGATCTGATACTGTGAGTATTGTGTGTCGGGAACAAGTGCGAGTGAATAGTGAGAATGTGACCAGTGGTACGGGTATCGAGCGCAGTAAAAGACGACGTCAGAGGGTAGACCGATATGTCTGGCAATTACATCTACCCGCAATTACTTCAGTTACTTCGTGATCATGGCGCTTGCAACAGTGCCGAAATATCGGAGACTCATAAAAAACAAGGTACATGGTAACAATCCCGTTAGTAGCTATAATGGTATTTTTTTATCCAGCTCGAAGGACCAGTCCTCAAAAAAATATACTAATACAGTAATATAAAGCTCGTCTGCCGTCTGCATGTGTTCGATTCTCAGCTGTCGTTCATTATTTGCATGTCACATTACATTTTTAATTGTTATTACAAATTCAGACCTTATAAACAATACTCGGTGGTTCAGTGGTAGAAATCTCTCTACGCGGGCGGCCCGGTTTCGATTTCCAGCTGAAAAGTTTCACTTGCATCAGGGTTTTCTTAAAACTACACCAGATTTTTTTTTCCACATACAGTAGAACGCTGATTATCCGAATGAATTGGGACAGGGGTCGATTCGGATAATCTGACATAGACTCGTAATAAAGAATAACGAACTGTCACACATAGAATAAACCTTAATAAGTTTAACAAACACAGTTCTACAATAATAAATACAATAATAGAGGTACATAGTAGCAAAAAAAAACCGCGCGTCGCAAAACATTTAGTGTCTTGCCTCCAGCTTTCAACCATAATAGTTGAAATATATCTGGATTCAAGCGAGTTCCAACTTGTTACAACAAAACAAAAATAAATTGATTTTAATTTTTTATTTTACGCTTATGACCAATTCGGATAATTGACGATTCGATTAATCAGCGTTCGGATAATCGGAAAATAATTCTATTCATATTTCGTGCTCGCGCTTTGTCACCCGCGTATTATCAGTTTTTTCAATTAATACTTTTCAATATGTATAGTTTAATTCAAAAATTGAAAACGCCTGCTCGCAAATAATCTTGACGCGGCGTTACGGAACAACTAAGTTTATCCCGCAATAGACATGAGAATTCTATTTCAGGACACAGGAGTATCGGTTAGGAAACGAGTAATAAAAATTCTAAAGGACATATGCATTGAATGTCCCGAGTTCCCCAAGATACCAGAAATATGTGTGAAGATGATAAGGCGGGTGAACGACGAGGAGGGCATCAGGAAGCTGGTGATGGAAGTGTTTCAGAACATGTGGTTTAGTCCTTGTCAGAATTCGACGAGGCTTAGTGCCCTCGATATGACCGCGGCCGCCGCTGACCCTCTCACCAGAAAAGTATTGAACATCACTGACGTAGTCATATCGTCAAGGGACATGGGTTTAGAATGGTTCCAGCAGTTACTCATGAGTGTGAGTATGAACACTAATATTTATTTGAGGCTGAAAATTATGTATTAGAGAATAAGAATATATAGGTATTTATTTTTATTTCATTCATAGTTCTTAAATTCTAGTCTAACATATCTATAAGTTTTTTGAGTCTGACAGTCGCACTCAGGGACTTCAATTAACTTTTAAGTTTATTAAAGTTTGAGTTGTCTCTCTCTGCGATAGTGGCCGCGAGAACTTTTTTCTTTACTAATAATAATTCTCTTTACCTTTGTTTTTTTATTATAATCAAGTGTTTTTCACTTTTTTCTAAATCATATGCTACGCTTTAATATATATTTATAATAACTTACAGTTATTCAAACCGAAAGAGGACAAAGATGATTCCACGAAAATAATTTATCAACCACCCAAATCGCTTTTAGTTGCTTGCCAACAAATTGTAGACTGTCTTATAGAAAATTTACTGCAGTTGGAAGAGTCCAGTTCAGAAGGTAATAGAGCAATTTAATTGATATTATATCCTGAAGTACAAATATTTTATTAAGGAAGTAAACACAGCCCTCTTTTTCAGGATCTGCGTCATCCCAACGCATTTTAGCGTGCCTTTCAACATTGCATTTATTTGCGAAAATTAGGCCTCAATTGCTAGTTAATCACGCGTTAACATTGCAACCGTACCTGAGTTTAAAATGTCAAGTGAGTAATAAAGATTAAAAAAACCAACCGGGTCTCAAACGCCGCCTCTTTTTGTTAGCTCTAACACCTAAAATACCACAGAAAAGGGGTGTGGCTTTTAGTTAACTCGCTAACAATGTTATCTGAAGCGAATGTATAATACCCGTTCTTCTGTTTGCTGAATAATGTACTTGAGAGTTAGAAATTACGGTCTCTTCTTCTCTTCTTCGAGTGCTTCTCCAACTAGCGAAGGCTGGCTAGTCAGCTTCGCATATTTCTACTATACGTGGAATAATTTATCTCCTACGTGTTTATTTGTACTGAATTCAAAATCGGCACAACAACTACTGACATGGCATCCTCGTTATGAAACCTTCCTTTTGATAATCGGAGATTATCATGAAAATCTCAAGACATTCACTGTAGATCTACCAAAATCGCGGCGCAGGAGACCTGGCCTTTTGATGCCCTTAGAGCTTGTATTGGAAGAGTTAAAGCAGAGATTGCATCTATTCCATAAAAATCAAAAATGAAAATAGTGTATGCAGTATTTAGATTTTTCCATAGAAATAGATGTAAACATGATATCATTAAATAGAAAAGCATAGTCCGCCTTTTTCCAAAATGCGGACTAAAGTTAGTCTTGGTTGAAACTTAATGTTGTCGCTGTTTTTTTTTTAGCAAACAAAAATGACAGCATCTGTTTCAGTTCAGGGGGCCATTTGCCTAACGGAAATGCTTTGGAAAACGCTAACGCTTACGATTTCATTTTATTATTTCTAGCCGCCTGAGGTTTTCAAATGCCTCGCGCTCTTTTTTTTTCTTTAGCATTGGTAATAACAATATTAAAAAAAATTAGCGTGAGGTATTTGAAAACCATCGGCGGTCAGAAATAACAAAATAAAAACGAAAGCTTAAACATTTCCGTTAGGCGAATGGCCCCCCGGTTTATCTTTAGTCTACATTATGTAATAAGGCAGAGTGGGTTTTATTTATATAATTTGAATAATTCACTAATTACAAAATGACAATATACAGCAATTTTACCTTTTTAAAAAGCAAGGTAGTAGTGCACTCTGTGGTTGATCTCCACTACCTATATGAATATCAAACAGTCATCTGCAGGATGTTATGATATATTTTGTTCCAGAATCAATTTGAGCAGCAGATTATGTCAACGGTAGCATCGACGTTAGAACTAGTAGTGCCACTTATGGAACACCCGAGTGAGGTGTTCCTCGCACAGTTGGAAGAGGATGCTGTCAAGTTGATCCTTCAGAGGGGTCAACTAGTTATAGCGTCGTGTATAGCGTGTCTTGCTGCCATAGTGAACAATTTAACGCACAATTATAAATTAATAAGGGATGTTTTTAATAAATATCATGGTAAGTCCATACCATTTGCTGTTGTAACTGTTTTCTTATTTGTATCAAGTTTAGATTTAGAAAACATGTTGAATAATGATCCATAGATACTTTTCATTAATAAACCTTCCATTTATGAATGTTTAAGGCTTTGATTATATACACGCCTAAATAGAACAATCCAACGCAAAGATAACGACTCATTTTACACGCGATGTGCGTGACTAATGTCAGAATTGAAACAGATTGTTTATAGGCAGTCAAAAGGCATCTGTAGCAACGAGCTTATCTACCATAATCATGACGTAGATATTTTTGGGGCGCTTCCGTGTAGTCAATACGGTATCTAGGCGTGTAAATAATCAAAGGTTTGAAATCAGGTTTTAGAATAATTGGTTCAAAAGCTTGCAGCTAAGTTATTTTTGAAAATGTAATTTGTATTTTATGTTTCTATATTTGTAGGTGTCCTTCTTCAATGGAAGCACAGTTGGCAACGGAATCCGGAAATGACGCGGGCGCTACACAGTAGGCCTCACTTTCGGCGTGCACTTTTCATAGTCGGTTTGCTGCTACGATATTTCGATTTCACTGACGCCAAAGTCATCGAAGGTTTACCGGTAAGTCGATTTGTTTACTTTAGGTTAGTTTATATTGAGGCGTAAACCGAAATTGTAAAGTTTTGTTTTTTAATATAAATATTGTCAATATAACTGTGAATACTTTTCTAAATAACGACACTTTCCCATAACCAACTAACAGTGAAAAGAACGTATTGCGCACAAATTTCTAGTAGGTACCGATTCAAAGCCCAGTTATAACAATAACCGTCGTGTTTATTAACAAGTAAAAGTGATTACGTCTGTTTAAGTAATTACTTGAACAAAATTTTGCGTTTCATACATAAGAAAATGAAATAAGAACTGTCAAAAATAATAATTCAATAGAAACCAATTTCGTTGCTAAGTCACCATTTGTTTTATTGAATAATTGTAGTATCAAGTAATGACTTGGTTACTTAGCAACAAAGTAATTAGAAAGCAACAGGTAATCACTTGTTTAAAAATACGTGTGTTTTAAACACGAGTGTTTGTCTTTACTTTGTTGTTAAATAACCAAGTCATTACATGACACTAGAATTCTTCAATAAAATAAATATTTACTTGGCAACGAAAATAGGAAAATGGTACACCAGTAAAAAACTAGTCGCAAATGATACATAAAACATTCTTCCCTTCGCACATGCTGTCCTAAATATCGTATGACAGAGCCAATGTCATGCATCGGAATTTTCGGTTAGTTTCTTTAATGGCACGAATTATAAGAATTCTCTTTTTTGACAATTCTTACTTTCATCAATTTCTTGAGTATGAAATCAAAAATGTTACTCAAGTCATTACTTAAACAGAAGCTATGTATTTTACTTGTTTAAAAAGATGACATTAAGAGTTGATTTTTCAATCCCTATTATCCTTAAAACTTATTCGTCTGATATTGTTTAAGACGGACGCAACGAAGATTTGTGTTAATAAAATGATCTTCTTAACTTCCGATGTTGCGGATGATATTTCTTTTCCATTGACTAATAATTTATTTGGCAGGTGTAGTTATTTTATTTTTTAAAATACGCTGGTGATCTTTTTTTACGTTAACTATTTAATGCCGGCACTTGACATCACTATTCTTATTTGATATTTGTAAACTTGACAACAGTCTCTCGTTTTCACTCCATATAGAGCATGATAACAACCTGCTGTCAAAATGACAAATAGCAAATACGAATATCTATGGGAAGTGCCGGCATAAAATGAAAACAAAAGTATAAAGTATTGAATATACACATCGCATTGTTTCATTGAATTGTATACCATTATAATTTTCTTTTCTTGGTAAACAGAATGATATAAAGGAGCAAGTGTTCACCACAATGATGTTTTTCGTGGGTCTTGAAGACGAGGATTTTGTAACGCACACGCTGAAAGCGCTCGGCTCCATATGCGTTAGGCACTACGAATTTATGCTGCGGCCGGAGCTCAAGGAGTTCTACCACCAGCTGCTCACTTCCGACCTAGCGCCCATAGAGATGAAGGCTGACGTGCTGCGGAACATAGAAATGTACTTACAAGAAGAAGAGCAAAGGATGATTAGACAAGATAAAGAATGTAAGTGTGCCTCATATTTAACACCTGCGGTCGCCCGCGACATCATCCGCCTAAACTATAGTTTTGATAATCCCACAGGAAACTTATTTTTTTCGGTATATAATATCCTATGTCTCAATTTAAATTTTTCCTTACTACTACTGTTTTCAACTTACTTAACGTGAGTCATTGATTAAAGAGGATATAAACTTGAAGTGCTTTGGTGATTGATTTAAGCTTAATAAATTTGACAACTAAAGCTACTTTGCTTTAGTTGTCAAATTTATAAAAGCTCAACAGAACGACTGTTTGAAGACATCACACCCGCTATTTAACTAAAAAGCCACGATAAAAAGAAATGTCGGGCTTGCAAAGTTCCCCGGCTAGGCCGGGAGGCTGCTGGGTGCGGAGACGCGGAAGAATCCCTAAACGGAGACCCCGCGGCTTCGCACTATGCCGCTTAGAGGGTATTCGCAGGGTTTTTTACCGGATAATATGCCGAAAAGCGCCCGTAAGAGTTGCGGGGTCCTCGGTGGGCAGCCACTGCGGGGGCTCGTAAGGCTTACGGGAGCCAGATGTGAGGTCCGTTCGGCGTAATGCCTCTTAAAGGCGCCGTCGTCTGTAAATAGAGGTATTACCTGCGTCACAAAAAAGGGCTTGCAAGGTTGATGCGTATCTCTGCTCTCAAACTACTGAATCGATTTTGATAACAGTTTCATCAGTAGAAAGTTACATTAGTTTTGAGTGACTAAATACTAAGAAGCCAAAAGGACGGCTCGCTATTCTCGTAAATAAGTCCCTAAACTGACCGCTATCGATTCGCTACACCAATCCATAATGGGCCCGCATGGTGGGCCATGGCCCTATCTCCCTATTCCATCCATAAGGAAGGCCTCTGTCCCAGCAGTGGGGACATTAATAGGCTGATGATGATGATTGTGACGAACCAACCTCCTTGTATATTATTTATAATTTACTTTTCTTTTGCCTCGTGTATGTTCATATACATACATCTGTTTACCTAAGTATTTGTTAATTTTACTTATTTAATTACGTCTGATTCCCTGATTCTCCTCACGTCTGTTATAATGATGATCATGATAATTTAGATTATGACCGAGCCGTTTATTGTCAGGGTCGAAGCGGTCGAAGCACGAGAACTTGAAGGAGATGGGCGATGTTTCGTCCGGCATGGCGTCCACCGTGATCCAGTTGTACCTGAAGGAGATCCTGGGCTCGTTCCTGCACGGCAGCACCGTGGTGCGCTCCAGCGCCATGAAAGTGGTGCAGCTGGTGCTGGCTCAGGGGCTCGTGCACCCCGTGCAGGTACTGTGGTAGCGTGCGGGGCCAGCTGTGCCTGCAGCAGATGCTGGGCTATGCCGATATATTAGAATACTAGCGGCCGCCCGCGACTTCGTACGCGTGGAGTTAGTTAGAAATAAAGATTCACTGCTCGTTCCCCATAGGTGATAGCGTGATAATATGTAGCCTATATATTGACCCGACTTCTTGATAATATTCTTGCCAAATTTGAAGTAAATCCATGCAGTACTTTTTGAGTTTATCCCGGACATACAAACAGACAAAAGTTCTAAAAACTATATTTTTGGCTGCGGTATCGATTGTAGATCACACCCCAAGTATTCTCTTAAAAAAAAATCAATATACAGTTTTGACTTTCCTACCATTTTATTATATGTACAGATGACTCGTTTCCATTGTCTCTCAATCTAAAATGGGATACATTCAAATCATGTCTAGAAATTGTACCCTTACAATGACCTACTACTTTATTCTGTGTGCCAGCCGCCGCAATAAGCACGAGTGGATCAATGTGCGCTTGCTCTTAGACTGCAGAAAACGAAATGATGACAATGTTATTGTGGATAGAGGGCATTGTGTATTCTCTACAATGTAAACTGTATTTATGCAAATGAAATTAACTTTCATTCATTTCATATAATATTGAACGATAAAAAATGAATTAATGTCTGAAAGTGGAATGTTAAAAAAAACTCGCACGTTCTCGAACAAAGTCCCTTGTGTTTTGGCATGCCGCCGATTGATTTTATCGCTTGCCTGTTAGATTATTTATTTACAACTCGCTTCCTGACTTTCAAATTTCTCTGGAAAGATGCCAGAATTTGCTTCTAACGACCTAAAATCCTCATTGCTGGGGTCAACAGCAGTTTCTACGTAATCTGTTAATAGTTATCATCCATTGTTAAATTGTAATTATTAAGAATTCTTCTTTTTAAAAAGTTACCCACTTATCAAATTTAATATGTCAATAGATTTAGAAATGAAATATGATGAGAGCTTGCACTATAAATCTTCATTTGGTTAATTTTCTTTGAAAGATCAATAAAAATCTTCTTCCAATAGTAAATATAAGAATAATTATAATAGTATGTCTGTCTTTTATTATATAAATGGCTGTTTTTTACAGAAATACTTAAAAATAACTTACTGATGCGCTAATGTGATTAGAACAAGTTTTGAAACGCAATAATTTTGTTACAGATTGTTCCATACTTGATTTGTATGAGTACAGACATAGAAGTTACAGTATCACATACGGCAGACAAAAACCTACAAGACATAGACAAAAAATATCCTGGATTTATACATATGAAAGCGCAGTTTGGCATTAAATTGTCGTATCAGCTGCAGAAGATATTACAAGCCAGCAAGGAGGGAGACGTCATACGAGGGTTTAGGTAGATAAATATACATTTATATATCAAAGCTTCAATTCATCAACACGGTATGTTCTTTTTAAATGCAAAATAAAAGAAAACTTTATACAAACATACTCAGCATATTAAAATTTCCTATGGGATCCCATTTCCGACTTTCATTAATGTTTCTTTTTAACATTTTGACTTCTACCTACATACACTATGTAGGTAGAAGTCACAATGCTTAATTATTTATTTATAATCTTTTTTTGATCATAGGAAAAAAGATCAAGATGATTTACCGACAGCTCTAAATGGATTTCTGTATTCATTGCTACGTAACACGAGGCCGCAACGACGAGCATTAGTGTTGTCGTTGCTGAAACAATTTGACGACGTATCCGTAAGTACATTTATCTTTTTCTCATTATTATTGATTTTATTGAAAATAACACTATTAGTTCTAAAAAGACGTCAATATAGTTTTTTATTTGACCGCCTAAATTGAAAATTGTTGTAAATAACAATATTTTTCTTTCAGACTGCACCTCTAGATCAAATGTTGTACCTAGCAGATAATCTAAGTTATTTCCCGTTTCAAGTTCAAGATGAACCACTGTTCATAATACATCACATTGATATTATAATATCCACATCGGGATCCAACTTATTACAACATTTTCGTGAGGTGAGAACATTCAGAAATTAAGTAAATTCATTGATTTTGTAATATGTCATACCATAGCGAAATAACTTACCGATGCGCGGGGATCTTATCTACTAGATCTACTTTGTGCATGGATTTACGAATACCATATGAACCACAGTGTTGAGCCAAATCTCGGCGTTGATCGCCGAGATAAAGTAGTTTGCTCACTATAAGATCTATCCTTTAAAGAGCTCGATGGCGCATTGATTGTCGTGTTCGGTTTGCTATTGCCGCAATGGCCGATCATTATGAAGCTGACCAGTAATGACTGTCTTAAACTTCTCCGTTCTTCAGAAAGTATGTTAAGCTGTTAGTCCCGGCTGCATCTGCAGTCGTTAGCGCTCACCAAACTGCACTGGGCTTGCGTGGTGGGTAATGGCCCCTATCTCCCTATCTCATCTGTAGAGAAGGCCTGTCCCTAGCCTGATAATGATGATGAAATTGTAGTCGACCTTGATGTCGGTCGTCAGTGCTTCCTATTCCATCCATACGATGGTCTTTATCTATCTGTCGAGCTTGGTAAAATTATATAAGTGACTAGAGGACACTAACGAATCCGTCCGCGTTAACTTTAGTTTTTTGAGAATTTCAGGAACCTAGCATATTATCGGGAAAAAGTATCCTATGTGTCAATCCAGGTAATAAAGTACATATATGCCAAATTTCAGCCACATCAGGTCAGCCGATTCAGCGTGAAATACTAAGAAACATCCATACAAACTTACGCGTTTATAATATTAGTAGGATAAGATTGTACCTCTGTCGAGTTTGATGGAGTTATCCAAGTGATTGTATCGTCAGGGTCTTATCAAAGAGAACACTACCGAAGAGAAGGAGCCACTGGATGAGGAAGAAGACGACGAGGAGGCGGAGTCTTTGATCGCTCGCCTGCCAGAAAGCACGCGCCCGCTGCGGGACGCGATGCGGCAGGCGCGCGGTTGCTTACTGCTGCTCGTGCTCAAGCAGCATCTTAAGCAAATGTACGGCTTCACGGACGCGTAAGTGCATTTATTTATATAGTACTAGTGGTATCGGATCCGGCCGGACTGAAAATGATGCCGGTTTGTAATCCCTAAGTACTACTAGCTGTCCCAGCGAACTTCGTACCGCCATAAAAAAATAGGGGTTGGAAGTAGAAGGGTGAAAATTTAGGGTTGTATGTATTTTTGTATGATGTATCTTAAAAAAATAAAATCAGAAATTTTTGTCAACATAATATGTAAGGTTGGACCACCCCTACATTTAGGGCAATGGTTCCCAACCAGTGGCCGTGGACCACCAGTGGTCCGCAGAAGCCAAAATATGGTCCGCGAATGAATTTGAATTTAGCGGTCGCGCCCGCTAAAAATGTTATTATTTCTTTTTATTTAATTTCATATTAGATTTTTAATTAAAGTTTCAGTTTGATTATTACAGTTTATTTTAATTACACTAAGAAGTTATTTAGTGACTAAATAGTGGTCCGTGCCAAAAAAAAATAATGTAAAAGTGGTCCCTGGACCAATAAAATGTTGGGAACCCCTGATTTAAGGAGATGAAAAATAGACGTTGTCCGATTCTCAGACCTACTGAATATGCATATAAAATTTCACGAAAATCGGTCGAGCCGTTTCGGAGTAGTTCATTTACGCACACAGTGACACGAGAATTTTATATATTAGATTATTCGATTTGCCTCTCATTTTCTTGTTTAAACTTTCGTTAAAACTGTTACAGTTCGTGTAAACTATAACTGAATCGGCAGTCTATTAAAAATTATGAAAAACCATACTGATGATTTCTTTTCGTAGCAAACTAATTGTTGTTGTTTTCATCTTTAACATATTGAATACTGAAGTCGTATTTCGACAACGCCAGACAAGTACCGCAGTAAGAGCGAGTTCGATCTCATACGCAATATCTTGCTTCAATAAGCAGTATCTTGCTTCAGCCTCTGTTTATGTCTGGCGTTAAGAGTTTATAACAAAGCCTCTGGTCAATTTTTCTCAATATTTTGCAGTTATTAGAATAATGGTGTCGATTCTGGCAAGATTCTCTATATCTAAACTTGAGTTTGACAACAGTATATCCGTGTCATTCTCTATACAAGAATAAGGAGAGACTGATGTTAAATTTAGTCTAAGAATCATGCCAGATTCGACACCTATATTTTATTTAAAAATCTCCTGTTATCGAATGTGCGTACCGATGGCAAAGTATTTCATCTTTAACAAGTGTTTGTTACTGCTTACCGCCGCACCCAGAAACATGATATAAAATTTATGTTTCTTTTCGATGAAATTGGAACAAGGCAGCATGTTAATTTATTTGACGTCTTTGAGTATACCCAATACAATGTTTCCGGGTTGAATTTGTGATTGACAAAGATGTTTTCAGTAAAATCAACCAGTACTCGCCGTCGGAGAGCGTGAAAGTGTACGAGAAGGCGGTGTCACGACGGCACGCGCCCGCGTTCGAGCCTAAAGCGACGATCGCACAGCTTCAAAATGATGACGATGGCGACGAGCTCGACGACCGCGGCCGACGGCGGCTCGTCGACGACTACCTCGAGGTACGATCTACGTCACACACATAGACCTTACTAAACCGATGATCGTGCAGCTCCAGGACAATGACGATGGCGACGAGCGCGGCTGGTGGCATCATATAAAAGGCACTTTGCATATTGAAGGATATTTACGACATCTTGAGTTATTTGTGAAATGATGAGTTATATGGCTAAACTAGTACTATAATCTTAATAATATAACACCTTGAATGCGCTTAGTTAAGATCGATCGATACAGAACAGACCTCTGACAGTATAATATTTTCCACAGTTCAAACAGCTAATGCTGAAATTCGACCCCGAGGAAGAAGAGGACGAGGAATTCAACCCGGGCGGGGCGAGCGGGAACACGGCCGCGGGCGCAGCACAAGCGGGCGCGGGCGCGGGGGCGGGGTCGGCAGCGGTGGCGGGAGAGGCGGGCGGTGGGGCTCCCCCGCCTACGTAGCCTCTCATTCCCCGCCCACCCCCTGTACATTACCCCCCCCCCCCGGCCCCCGCTCCCCGCCTCCGCTGAAACCGCGACCATCTCAATAACATACTAAGTTATAATAAAAAAAAGAACTCGATTTTGTTTTTATATTTAAAAAAAGTCTTGTGTGTAGATAATTTTTATGAAGAATATAAAGTATATGTACCTAATATGACTTGGATTAATTCGTCGACGGTTTCTTGTTTTTTGTACGCGATTTCGAGAGATGCGCGTCGACGCGACGCCGTGTAACACTTTGTACATACTGGGATCTATTGTAATATTGATTAAATATTTATGTTCACATTAGAGGGTACTGCAATAAATTGCATTTCTTATGAATAAGGAAAAATTAAAGTTTAAAGGTTAGATTTTTACAACATTTATTTTTTTCTCTTTACCCTATATTATTATTATTTTTTGACATTAGCGGAACAACTTACAGACTATATTTTTATAAGACATGATTAGACACGACAAGTATATTATAGACATCATTAACAATTATAAATACAAAACAAATAATTGTACCACGATATTTACGAAATTTTGCTCTGCCTTTCTTCCGATACGGCAAACTTATTACACAGGAAAAAGATCAATGTTTCTGAGGTGGGTTTAACCTTTCCGTCCGCAATTAAACGCCGCAAGTTGCGTATGCGCTGCTTGTGAGGATACTCATGGGACCCATGGCTGGGCTGAAACAATTGTTTCAAATTTAGACATTTTTATGTTTAAACTAGGTATATCAAATCACATTCGATCAACAATTTTATAGATAACGTAAAATTCGTCTCGGTAAATATAGCCTCACTTGCGGTGTGAGATCTTATTTTAAATTAGTTCGGTTAATACAATTCGCGGACAGTTTTTAGCTTTGATTTTGTATGCAACCCGTTATCTGTAGAATTGTTGATCGAAGCAAATCAGACACTAGAAAAGAAACTTTAAAACATGATGTTTCATTATGAAAACAGTCAAATGATACAAATCTTTAGAATCCTAATGTACTTTCCGATTCATATAAATTAGTTCTGTTTACAATGTTGGTATTGTAGAACGCTTAACTGAGTCCCCGCCTGCGGTGTAATGGGTGTTGGGGAGGACTAGAACGGGGACCGTGGAGAGGTGCGGGCGGACTCAGTTCAACGGTCTAACCGTAGTCGTCATAACATTACCAACATTGTTTTTCGTAATCAAGTTATTGTAATAAGCTGAAAGCTATTGTATGCCAGATTGCCCTGCCATACATTTTTATATAAAATTTATTATACTTTATTCTCGAACATTGTCGTGTAGACTGAAAACTCTTGACTCAGCGCCGATATGCTCAGCGCACTTGACCACCACAATTTACATTATATCATGTTTTTTATCTCGTCTTACTATCAAACTCCATAGTAATTTGACAATTAAGCGTGATAAAAAGGAGCTATATATCATATTGCGGTGCTCATGCTTAAAGGGCTGATGGCAAGCAAATTACCAATAGGTCATTGCGACAGGTACAGCTATCGGTTTACCTGTTCTTCGATTTTTTTGTTACAATACATACCTATGTATTTATTTATAGATAAAATAAATAGGTACTTAACGCTAAGTTATCAAATTAGATATAATTAATTACCACTTCGGCTTCTGTGGGTTCCGGGGGTGGTACGCCAATTATGGAACTGTCCCACATGACTGGGTGCCAAGGTCGGCGCACTGGTTTTTCAGCGGGCAACAGCGGCTGCGGCGGCCGCAGCGGCAACGCGTTTACATCCACGTAAACGTCTTCTTCCATATCTGTCCTCGGCGGAGAGCTCATGTCTGCTGCGGATCTGCTACAAAAAGTAGTGCAACGCATGATTTTTAATCATTATTTCGTTTTTCGTTGGTAAAGCAAGTAAAGATGACACATTTACTTTTTTCGTCATGCAACTTATATAAGGCTTTATGACATAAAGGGTACGCTTGATTTTGTGGTTCAACTCTTAAGTAATTTTTAAAGCATATTTTCTTCTTTTGTGCGACCTTGTCTTAACTAAGAAGAAATGCTCCTCGGTCTATTTTATTTATAATAGAAAAAGACTTTACTGCTATAAAATTTTAGAAAAAGAATGCCAGATACACTCTACCGAGGTACCAGGTGCGAATAATAATAATAATTTTAATGGTATCATAGCGAAGAGTCTCGACCAAGATCTAAAGAGCCTCTCACTAGATGGTTGGGTCAAGGGGCAGATGCAAAAGGCAGTACTCCTGGACACAGCACGTATCGTTAGGCGGTGTCTTTCTTTGTGGCCCTAACCACCGGTAGCTTGGACCTAGCCCCGCTGCTGGTGGCCTTCTAGGTTAGGTTTCATAAACTATATTTAGTTATATCTATTTTTTAAAAAACCTAACTGTGAAATAAAATAAATGAGTGATAATTTCTTTATTTTATCTTAGTTACAATTTTTTAGATAAAATATGTAAATACAGAAAGTTCATTAAACAGTTGGAGGTTTACGGTAACAGTACCCTTAGCACGAACTTATCTTGATTATATCAATATCTTGTGTGAAAACTTGAACAGCAGCGCCACAAAGTACGTAACGAGACTTAAAAATCAGTACACATTTAAAAATGACATTTCTGACTCGCAAACGTTACGAATTCGGTATTGGTTCGTGCTAAGGGTAGGTACTGTTAGCCTACAGGATTGTATGTCACCATTGTCAACGCACCGTGCAACGTTACCGACACTGTTTCACGTTGACGACATTGAGAGGTGGAAATATGGATTGGCACTCATTTTTACCAGCTATTTATTTAGTCTAATAAAAAATTTAATGCGCCCTTCGCATACACTCTTCAGCTGGGGTATGTCGGGAGTGTTAAACACGGGCTGTTGACATATTTGCTTACAAAAGTAAAGCATCTTTTAAAAAACAACTTTTAGGGCAATTGGTTGATTGGTAATATATATGCATACATATATATATATATATATACACACACACACACATGCATAATGGCGCGCGCGCCTTGCACACATCTCGCCCTTGCTTGGTAGAGTTTTCTAAACTTTTATGCTATAACTAAAACATGAAAATCCGTAATTGGCATTAAGGTAAACTATATTGTAAAACCTGTATTATATTAAGAAAATGCTGTGGATTTTGGTCTAGAATTAAATAAATAAAAATAAAATAAAATACCGCATACGTGCCCAAAACGGCCCTCACTGGGAAAGAGTTTGCAGATATTAAAAAAATCTATAATATAGAGCTTGAATCAAAACTTTATCCCCCTTATTAATAAGTAAATTTAGGGATGATGACTAATTTTTGAAGTTATACTTCTTTAGGCGCGTTATGAAAAAATGATGAGAGTGAAATTTTAAGATGCGCGCGCATCACTGTAACACAAAAAATTAACAGCATGAAGTTGGTCGCTAAAGCGACCGAGCGAGAATTGTCCAAAGAAAAATACATGTCCATTATTTTTTGATCATCTAACTGACGGACTAAATAGAATTTCGTTTACTGTACCCCGTCATCACCCCTATTCTATGTTTTGTCTCTGTTCATTGAATTACAAATAGCACTTGAGTGACAGAAAGAAAACACGGCGTAACTTGCCTAAGCTTATTCCGCATTTATTAATAAGGGGGTATATGTTTAATAAGTCCGCTATTGACAAGTTATTCCGAGAATTTTGTTTATCCAATAAAATCCAAACCTAAGCAATAAAGGTTTCAAAAAGCCATAAAGCGCTTCGAGAATAGGTACTTGCGCTTCGCTTAGCTCGTCTTGGCGGGGGGGCTCGTTGGATAAAACTCCGTTTCCTTGCAATCTCAATGTCTAATCTTTTTTTTCTTTTCGGGGATAAAAACTTAGATAACATTTTATAATTAAATTGTTTGTTCATAGCATATGATAAAAAAAATTGTAGCAAAAGGTACCTAACTTATATATTCAATTCATATTATAACAATTCTTTGTTCTGTGTATCCCTACCTGTAACTAATGCTGCCGACTAGCTACAGCCCTGCCCTAGACTTCGAAGAAGTGGAAACTACAACCTACTTGCTGTAGGATAACGGAAAACGGTTCTATTTAAAGGATACTTGCCCTCTATCTCGTATCTATTTTTAAGCAATTAACTCTCTCCTTACTTTATTCTATCTTTACGGATAATTTTTTACTGTTCCAGCCCATCTTTAAAGTAGTAACTTATGTTTTACAAGGTTTTTATTTATTACCCTAAGGCCAAAAGGGGCCATGGCCCGGGGCAGCTGCAAGGGGCGGGAAAAGCCATAAAGGTATTCGTTACAGACCTTATTATGATTTGATAAAATTAATAATAAAATTGGATTTACTTAGTTAAATTAATTTGAAAATACGCATCTTCTTCAGGCTTTTGGTGGGATTTAGCTTACTTTCTAATATATTTCCAAAAGTAAGTCTATTTCCGGTAACTTATAAAGCATGTTTCGCTACTTCTGAAAATCAGGTCAATTTTGCTAGAAATAATTCATCTTGTCCCAGAAGCCAGGCGGGAGTCCAACCAGCAACCGACGCTAAAAAACGATATATTTTGTGTACTTTGTACTTAAGAGCTTTTTATAATTGAGCACAATAATGTAAGTAGGTACCTAATTTGAATCGAGGGACAATTAACGTCAAGTATTATTTTGCCTTAATTTAAAAATAGGTACTTATCTGTAAAAAGTCTTTATGCTAGAACTAAAATATCAATCTCTAATCTAACAACCTTGGAAGTTTCTTATATCCAACGTCAACAATAGATCTATGAAGCTAAAACCACAATTTTTGTAGCAAAGCTAACATCTAAAAAAAACTACTGCGCAATAAAGTTCAGCTTGGTACGATTTTTATTCGATTAGTTAGTTGGCAAAGAGACAAGATATAATATTTTCGGTGTCTAGCGGCGCTGCATTGATGAGTAAACAGTTTTTCAATTTTATTTTTGAGCGTAATATAAAATGTAAATATAATATACCCTTAAGAAAGTGACGTGAGGAAACCGATTTCAAAGGACATCGACGAATTCGGCCCTAGCATGCCCAAAAGAATGTCCTTCACTATTATTTTTCTATTATTTTTTTAACTTATTAGCAATTAATCATAGTAAACGGACAATCTGTTTAAAAAATAAAAGTTCTCTTACTAGATACTACAGTCTGTTCATCCAACTTGGCACTCCTTTTTATTGAAAATACAGCATTAAAAATCAACTGATAACTGGATTCAATAGGTTTCAGTCTATAATAACGATTTATTTTGATAGTTTATTTTCTTCGTTAATTTTTTATTATTAAATGGGTGATTCTGTTAAAAAGTTGTGCCAAGATTGTTTACCTTAGTTATGCAATATAGGCGACCATAGGTATTTATCAACATAAAAATAGAACTAGGTACCTTAGTTAATAATACTTATTACTAGTATTTATATTATATTTATAAAAAGATTATTTCTGAAATTATCTAAAGATAGTTTATACTCCTATCCCATGTAATATCTGTTTATTTTTATGAAAATCGTAATGGTAACCAGGTACATACCTAATTACCGTTAGTAAAATATAGAAACAGGTAAATGGAAAGACTGAACATTTCATTTGAAAAGAAATCTATCATTACTTACTACAGGTAAAATCAATAAGAATATAAGCATTTATTATTTTTATTATAAATTGCATTTTATGTTCATTTAATGCATATTATTTAAGTGCTTACATAGAGGTAAACACTAAATCTATTCAGAATATATAAAGTGTACATCTTTTATGATTAAGTATAATAATTATAACCTCAAAATCTAATACATTCTGTAGTAGGCCACGGTTCCTCAAGTTGTCCGTATCTCAACAAATGCTTATTTAGAGTTTATGAATGATTCCGAACACAACTAGCATTTTCTCATTGCTGGGCGTTCTAGGGCATTCAATGTATGGGGAACGAGCAATGTCCTTTGCATGATCAAAAAATATCAAAATTTATCCATAAAATAAGTAAACCGATGAAGTAAAGATCGATTATTTGAGTATTAATAGGATATTAATTAATTATCTACTTGGCATTTATTACACGCTCCACGTTAAAATATCATTTACTATGTAGTTCCTAATTAACTAGTTAAAGACACCGGAATTGTCCTGAAACCTTATCCCACAGTTACGATATAATAAGGCATCTTTGTTTAGTGAAACTTACAGTTATATGTAACACAATCCGTAAAACCAGGGCACCAAAGTTTTCACGTCTTTATTGAACAAACAAAACACATCCAGCTCCGAATGTAGGTACTCTCCTCTGCAAACAGTTTATTATTGGCCAATCTAATAATGGTTTATTTATAATCTCAAGTGAACTGTTGCATGGATCGTTATAGACTGACATGAATTTCTTTCTTTTACGTCTGCGGTACCCTGATTCGAACAATTGTACTCCTTCGTGACGTACGTTTGGACAGTTACCAGCAAAAATAGGAACATTAAAGACAGTTCCAATTGACATCTAGGACACCAACCGCCGATCGAACCGTTGCCAAATACTTATTGTTTTAATGTGATGATGTAGGGATTTTTTTGTAGTAACTAAATATGCAACAACACTAGGCAATTTATATTTTAAAAATATGTTGTAGTGCCCTAATTATTTTCCTAAAGATCAATTTGACACGTAAAGTTATTACATAATTCTAGACCAATTGGGCGCACCTATGTATTAAACGTTCATGAGTTCCACGCGGTAGGGGATGGAGTCAGGGTACGCAACGTGCAAATAAAAATCCGGTATCGCAAGCGTCTGTTCTTAATGCTACGGTGATTATACCGTATGGTACTTTGCTGCTATTTTTACTTAAACAAAATACAGATGTAGGTACTTGGTATACTTCGAACAGTCTTCATATCGTGGAACTTTGGAGCGGTTAACAGGAGCATTTCCTGCAGTGCATCAAGCAGTATTTTTATAACTAAACACAACTAGCTTTTACAATGATATCTACCTCCTTAACCTGTGGGTATATGAATAATTGCTAGATTTCGTTGGCATAACTTGCATAATCGGACATTTGCTTCTAACAGAATACGAACCCGCGATACTTGATCGTCCAGTTAAAACTGTCATCACATCGCCTACCTTTAAAATCATTAAAATGTTTTTAACCAACCATTAATAAAATCTTCCAAAATAAATCACCTACAAATTTTAGAAAAAAAGAAATAAGTACGTGACTACCACCGGGTTACTTAGCGTTTAGTAATCTAAGTTACTTCGCCAAAAACTCTTAACAATTTGGTGATTGCAATTCATTAAATATCGAGAATATTACCTACCGTAATAAAATAAAACCCTATTGATTAGGAAAACGAAAAAAATATATTAATTAGTTACGGTGTCCGCAAATAATACAAGAAGGATGACAATATCTCGTATATTTTTATAATATGCTCTCTCTTCGTGTTACTTTATTTTTTGTTACATGCACGACCACACACTTTTCCAAAAGATTGGCAGTCGAAGCCGTTGCATGCAACTACAAACAAAATAAATGCAATATCTTAGAATACCTATGTATTATTTTATTCTAAGTTCTAACTATAAGTATTAGGAATTATCATTATTATTGTCACTTGGAGAATTACAGGTAATTTAATTCAAGTACAGCCAAAGCCATGAATGTGGATACAATGTACTATGCAATTATCATTATTGTCGCTACTTAATAAAGATAATTTTAAAATGTAAGCTCAAATGAGTCCTTGACTTGCTTTAATAAAAGACATGTTAAAAACTATTAATTTTAATTACTTTCATTCATTCATATCTATAACTAGTTAACAACGAACAGATAGTTCTTGTGAAAAGATCAACAACATTAAAATTGCAGCTACCTATATCACTTCATAACAATAGTGAGCAACGAAAACATAAAAACCTCTTTAGCTTTTTTCTTAATTCGGTATTGTGAAACTGTTCATGCCGAATTAGAAGTAAATCTGTGAAATCTTATTTCGTTACGCAACAAATATCTATTACCCGTTACATTTTGTTGAGGCTTTATTTAAAAGTAAGTATTGTAAAACGGATACGCTCTACTAACATCGCCTATGTTGGCTAACAATACCAGTCTTACGCGCCCGCGACTACTTCATCGAAAGAAGCTTCGTGATCCGACCTTGATAACATGAACTCGGGAAGAGTGACCCCCAAGGCCGCGCTGTATCTTGGCTGGGTCTCCGCCCAGAACGCTCCTTGAGATTCGGCTCCCGCGAATTGTTCTGGAGGCGCTATATTACTATCGTCGATAATCTTTGCGTTTTCTTCTGCTTCAGCTTCAACACTTCTCTTAGATTTGTGAGCAGCTTTTTGAGTTGATGGTGCAGCAGCAGGCACTGCACTCACAACTGGTTTGGAAGCAGCGGCAACAGCCTGTGGTGCCTTTTTACGTTTTAACTTTTTTCCGTAATTATTGTTAGCGACGACATATGCCGCTGATTTTTGTACAGTGGGAGTACTCGTTGTTACAGCTATGCTCTCAGCGCCCTCATTTCCCTCAGCAAGTGTTGCTGGTTTAGATGTAAATTCTTTTAATTCCTGATAAGCTAAATGACTGCGTTTAGGTGCGGATTCAGAGACAAACATACATTCCTCATGTTTCAGCCCGTTTTTGTCTAGACATTGGAAACAAGTCATGCCATTCTTCTGTACCTTTTTACAGGCTGATCTATCCTTTTTCTTGAATTCCGCTAGAACGTGTTCTACATCTTTTTTCTGTTCGTTATTAGTGTAAAATCCTGGTATAGCCTTTTTGTAGTTGTAGGGCTTAACTAATGGATCCTTTTGTTCTTCTGAACTTTCGGTTTCTTCGGCAGCTCGCAGTGCTTCGCTCGTTTTAGGCTTGGATGTATGAACATAATAGGATTTATATTTTTCACCTGAATCGTTAGCTTCGGGCTTCTCTTCTTTTTTGTAACTGCTGTAGGGTTTTTGTTCTTCCGATGATGACGGCTTAGCAAACTGTTGAACCTCATCTTTAGGATTTTGATATTTGGCGCTTTTAGTCGATGCTTCCGATTTGTCTTTATTTTCGGGTTCATCAGGTTCATCATTGCTATCAAACTTTCTTTCTTTTGAATAGGCATATTTGTTATTTTTCGGCTCTGCGACATATGAGCAAGATTCATAATTTCCCCCCGTTTTCGGGTCCTTGCAAATCATACAAGTCATGTCATCTTTTTTTACCTCTTTGCAATTTTGTGGGTTTTGTTTAATTTCCGCTGCCTGCTTTTCAGACAACTCTTTTATTCTTTCATACTCTTTGTGGTCGTAGCCGGAATCATATCCATAGGGATATTCGTAGTCTTTATTGGGATCTTTTTCTTTCTTGTAGGCGCTACTGTAAGGACTTTCATATCCTTTATAATCATATCCAGATTTGCTGGGATCCTTTTCTTCTGTATAAGGGCTACTGTAGGCTGGACTATCGAAGGCTTTTGGTTTGGATATGTATTCCGCTTTGTAGCCATATGGATCATCTTCATCTTCTGCACTGCTCTTCCTTAAGTTTTCTCTCTTCCTTCCACCTGTGTATCGACGAATACGGGACAATCCTGCAATGTAAGCATTTGGCTTGTAGTTATGTTCAATTTCGGGATTTTCAACTAATTCCTCTTTTCTATAATTTAAAGGATGAGCAACTTCGACATTTGTAACTGCGGGTTGGAAATAAGCGGCAACAGAAGGATTTTTTTTCAAAGCAGCTAAAATATCTTTCTGTTCGTTCTGTTCATCTTCTTCAGGTTTGTAAACTTTATAATCGGCATCGTGAACAGTTCTTATATCATATCGCAATGGTTGGCCAATAACCACATGTTGTTGTTGTGCTTGTTTTGGCTTCGCAACCAATTGAGCGGATTTCACAAGCGGTTGAAAGCTTTGACTGGCAATTGGATTAAATCCGAAATTTTCAGGAGAGAATGCACTTTCTTGTGGTGCTCTGCGTGCTTGAATCGAATCGATGGAACTGCTGACAATAGTGTCAAATAGTTGGGGGTATTGGCTTTTATCTACTTTTAGTACTGCTGCGGCAATGGGATTCGAAGCCAGTGAGGTTATGCCTGAAAAAACAATACATTGTTTGAGGCATGTGTTTTGATTTATTTGCGTGCAGGCATAAGCATTCAGTGTAGTATGAGTAATTTAACGTCTCGGTATAGTTACCCACCCGCGTCATCAGAGTCGAACGCAGACGCGAATTCCTTTGGTAGAGCGAAGCCATTTTCTGTCTCCGTGTTCGCAAGAACTCCTTCACATATCACCCAAGCTAATAGCTGTAACAGGCGTAACATTTTAAAATACTAAAAACTGGTAATTAAAAAAAAACGATCACAAGTTTCAAACACAACAGCATACCAAACAGCTTAGTTTTGACATTTCTAATTAAATGGGTATAAACCCAGATACGATATTTTAACTTCACTTCTCCTCACAGTGTCGAGTTGTATTTCTCGTTTGGGTTGGGATGAAAGTAACGTCACAATATTGCAATGACAACGTTTTATAGGTGTCAATATTGCGAAGGTGAAAGATCGGTGCAACCGAGCGCGCGCGCCACTGAAGCGTGTCATGCTGCGGACAATGTCCGCTTACTCCATCCGGTGGTGGACTGCGTGGGGTCACCTCGCCCGGCGCCCGGCGCCCGCCGACCGTCCGCGGCACCCTGCAGTAGGTGCCGCTGCACATTCCGCCGCGCATCCAATACAAATCCCGGACACATCTATCAGCCCACCTAGCATTTTAGTTTTTGACCTATGGTTCTGACGGTCCCTAGCTAAAAATAAATATGACATTAAGAAAAAAGTTTTGACGCAGTTTTAAAGTGTATTTACTAACCATATTTTACGTAGGTTTTAAAAAATATATTATAATTGCTCAACCTAACTTAATATAGTTTTGCTACACACCGTTATACCGTTAAACATATTTATAATACTAAGCGGGCCGGTGGATGTGTCCGGAGGTGTACTTACACTAACTTCTTTACATAATATAGAACAGTCGCTCCCGCTGTCTATACACTTAGATCTTTTAAACTACGCACCGGATTTAACGAATTTTCTGCAATAAATAAAATGATTTAAGTCCATTTATATTGAAGCGAAGCGAGAGCAGGGGTTATTATAAGGTAATACAAATACATTAAATACGAAAGTGAGTTTAAAGTTTTGTTATCCTTCCACACCTAAACTACTGAATCAATTTAAGCTTAATTTTAGTATATAGGTAGATGGGACCCTAGAGTATAAAAATATACTATTTGATTTAATCCAAGCTACTTTTTTTGGAGTGTTACCCCTTTTAAGTTTTATTTGCTAAAGCACTAAGGAAATAGGAGGAAAATAATGTCGATAAAATATCATGTACGAACGGGTACGACCACACCACTCATAGAAACGATATTTATTTTTGATAATAAACTTTTTTCAAGTTGACTTAGTCTTTTTCTTAGGGAACCAATCGCTTAACGGAATTGCTATGGCTATCACTATGATAGCCATAGCAATTCCGGAGCTTATGATTTCATTTTGTTGTTTCTGTCCGCCCAAGGTTTTCATATACATACCTCACGCTCATTATCTTTAATTTCGTTATTACCAATACAAAAGAAAAAAAAGGGTGCGGGGATTTGAATACCTTCGGCGGTCAGAAATATCAAAATGAAAACGTTAGCGACTGAACCATTCCGTTAGGTAAGTGAACACCAGGCACCTTTTAACTGACAAAAAGAACAGGCGAAAGCAACGCCTGTTAAAAGCTTCTCAGCTTTTTATAAAGTAGCGACATTTACATAATATATGTCATTTCCAATACCTACATCATTATATTCCTTATGTGACAAGAATATATAATATTGCATTGTGAAAGATAACGTATGAGCAAAGGATAGGAAAAAATAGGTTTATCATATTTCGATCGTTCAAATATTTGTTTTGTTCAGTGATGTTTTCCGAGTTCCCCGTGGTAGGGGTTTGCGTTCAGACAGGCTAATCGCCGACTAAGGGATAGCGTTAGCCTTAGTCGGCGATTAGCCCCCGTGCCTGTGCCCAAATATTTGAACGATCGAAACCTTAGGCAATTGGCCCCACGGTACCGGTGAAATGACTAGAGCTACACATATTTCTGCCAATTCATTTCACTGGACTCCATTTATAGAACTTGTATAAAATCCTATAATGTACCTAATTAATAGTGCTATATTCTTCAGTTAATGCATAGATACTTTTTAAGATAGGAAATAATATATTTAGATATTTATTTATTAATGTATCATTTTCTGATAAGTTCAATCAATTTTACGAAGTTCCTGTTTTCAAGTAAAGTAAAGTATTCGAATTCACCGGACTATCATACTAGGTATCGAACCCAGTCCATCAGTGACCGCTTGCCCTACTAGGGTATACGGTACTGTGTATGACTCGTCAAAATGAGTTTACTAGATTTTAAGATAGCAGACCAGTGCGTGTAATTATTTAGACATCAACGACACACTTTTCAGTATTTGTGCCAATATTTATAGATCCATCTTATAAAATAAGGTTCCTCCGAGGCCCCTTTTTGCTACCGCTACTAAGGGCCTCTTAACTCACGCCTAGCCATTTTAACTATTTAACAACCTCCGTGGTTAATTGGCTCGGCTTGCACACCGGCTTTCATGGTGTCACCATCTCTCAATCGCATTGGTGTCCCGGGTTCAATCATCGGCTTAGCCAACAAATACTTTTTTATATTGACTCAATGTGTTTGTGTATTTTAGTAATACGATGATTAAAATCATAACAGATTTTAATCATCGTTCTCTAATTTGAGTGTCGCTAGTAATTTTTAACTACACTCATTCAAATAAAACGTCATTCATATAAATAGGTATATAAATGCACGCAATTGTCCGTACAGTCGCAACTTTAACACGAGCATCGAAGCGGGAAGTATTTAGTTGGAGTTGGCATAACTATAGATTGCGGGCTCGCTCACGCAATCAAAGGGATTTGAAAAAAACCAACTACTACATAACCATAAGTTTTTCTGTCTACAGCAACGGCTATCATCAGCACACCAATCGGCACTAGGCTCGTATAGCTGGTCATGAGAGCGGCTCTACGTAGGGGCTGTCCATTAATCACGTGAGACTGGAAAGGGGGGGGGGGGGGTCACACTGATGCCAGATTAGGGGGATACCCCCCAAAGGAGATTGCACAAATTGGCCCAAATGTACAAAAAATATTGATATATACGGTAATTCTTGGCGTAATTTATACTTTATTTTACAGTCATTAGATTTTAACGGACACCTTTGTATAATATATTCATTTTAAAAAGGGCTTTTAACTTTACCGGTTTGGAAAACATACGAATCATTTTAATGGCCATAGGTGTAGTAATATTCAGCCAAAGACTGATCGAAGTTGTTTATATAACATCAAAACAAATCTATTTTGTAAAGATCGATAAAATAAAACTGTTTTGGTATTAATATCCACAACTATATTATCATTTTCACCACATGCAAATGTGCTAAGACAATTATTATAGATGGTAGGCGACATCATAAAGTCTATTGCCATACATTTTTCGCCAAACACCTCCATAACACAATATAAGGTGTGATACACTAAAAATCTAAAATATGGTTATAATAAATAAGGTCTAAAATATAAACATAACAAAAATAATGAAGCTTAACTAACTAAATTAAAGAGAGTTTAAAAATTCTCTCTAGTCTGTGGCTCATTCACAATCATCACACAGTTTCTGTCACAGAGTACCTTATTATAACCGGAAATGCATTTTTTTTTATGTTATAGGGGGCATACGAGCAGACGGCTCACCTGATGGTAACTGATCACCGTCGCCCATGGACACTTGCAACGCCAGGAGTATCACAAATGCGATGCCGGCCTTTAAGGAAGGAGTTGCAGGCCTTTAAGGAAGGAGTACGCTCTTTTTTGAAGGTTTTTGGGTCGTATCGGTCCGGTAACACTGCTGGCGACAACATATTCCACAGTTTTGTCGTACGTGGTAAAAAATTTGGACAAAAACGCACGGTTGTGGATAGCCACGCATCAAGATGATGGGGATGAAAAGGCCTTGCCCTCTAAATGATCCCGAAACTGGACATCGCTCGATATGTCAACGCCAAGAATTCCAATACTAGACGAGGCAGTTAGACGTGTGTTCTCAAAACGAGGAGATATGACAAATGATATTTTTTTTGCGGTGAACGCGCATACTTGTGTCTTCGTAGGGTTAAATTGGACTAGATTAAGTCGGCCCCAATTCGTTACTCGGTTTAACAAAGTTTCGACTTCAGACACAAGTTTATATAAGCATAGATGATACCTGATTTTAAAAGTATCTATTGTGCATTAACTTTATAAACAGGCAACTATCTGTTAATCTACCTGCTCTATATATCTGTATCTAATACGTAATTTCGGTACTTGGCTTGATTTCCCTAGTTTACTAAGACTTATTTGTTTTTTATTATTTTAATACCTATGTACCTATTTGCAAACATAACCTGAAAATCATTCAGTGTATATGGTTTATAGAAGTTCTCAGGGCTGTCCGTCAATAATATTCATTTCTACAGTAATTTATATATAATTTCGAATCTAGGAAACAATTTTTCATGATTATTGGTCTTTAGGCCAAACATGTATGGAAGCTGAGCAATCTCCTTTGGGAGGTTTTCAATTCCATTTTTTATATAAAAATAATACCACTTCATAAACTTTTAATCTGTTAAAAGACACGATCAACGGTCTCTCTTTCTCATTTGGTAAAGAGCATGACAAGGATCTAGACTGTTGTCTTATAGAATCGTGCAGGAATCGGGTCCACGGAACTGCGTTCATTCAGTGAGTCTCATTTGGACCCTTAAGTCGAAAGCCCACTTAAAAAAAGTACTCTTCAGTCCATTCCGTCTAGCTCAGTCGCTCGGTCAGTCAAGTCCAAGAAAAGCAAGTCAGCCAATCGTTGATGGTCGTTAGCTTAAACTGCAAATCGATTCGACACTCTTTGCTCTGCTAAATCGTAATTTTTCAATTTGTCCTTTTAATTGTTTGCACCTTGGTAAGATAATGGCACTGCACTATCAAAACAAAATTACAGTTTGTCTATAAAGTCGTGACATTAAATGATGGCGCCACTAGTATGCATGTAGCAACCCTATACAGTCGGACCAAAATGATTTTGATACTAGCAGTTCATTCAAGTAAAATAGGTAATTAATAAGACACACTATACAGTCGTATTTTGTTTCTGTTTTATATATAGTAGGTACCTATGCTTATAAAAAGTTTAGCCAAGCAAATTTTATTGAATCAGAATAAAATTATTATAGATAAAATAGTACTTTATAGTGTAAAAGTGTGTAATGTTGGTGATTACCGCTATGGTGCCATCTAGACCAGCGCCGTTAGGTATTCATCAATACACACAAGTATCATCATACGACGTTTTTTAACACACTTGTTAAGAAAATAATACTAAAAATCATTTTATAGTATATAAAAAGTCTATTTAGAGAAACAATTTGTAAATGTGCAGTTAGTAAAATTAGTGATAGGTATCTTCACTAAAAGCATCTGGCCATGGTTCTTTATGTGACCATTTCATTATTTGGTCGGCCTGTTTTCCCAGGAGTTTCAAACTTTCCATCATTCCTAAAACCTTCGTTGACTATCCGACTCTCTGATTTTCTTGAAAAAAAAAGTAAAAAAATATGTAACGGAATAGAAACAATAACTTATTGACATGAAGCAATTCATTCAAAATTGGTAGAAAACCTGACCGAGTTGAACCATAATAACGTATCAAAAGAAATGGTCGTACTACAATATTACCTATTTACAATGTCAATCTAACCTAAAAATGTGCAATGTAAACAATGCCTTTTTTGGTCTCAAAATCGTAAATTGAGTAAATTTGTAACTTCAGGCAGATTACAAACAAATAGTTACACGATTACATACCCGTCATAGATGCTGTTCGCCCATAAACATCATCCAAATCCCACAAAATTCGTCCAGCTTGGTAGTCTTCGAAACATCGCTGGAAAACTTTAAAAATCACTTCCCGCGTGCCACTCCGATTTACTTTACTCATTTTTATACCTTTCTGCGTAGTTTCGTTTTAATTTATGACAGTTTAGTCCAAACAATAAAAAATACAAAAGGAAAACTGTTCCACAACTGAAACTCGATGACAGCTGATGTACATAAGTTTGGTGTTGCCAGACACATGAATAATGTTAGTTCCTCAAACATTTATGTCACGACTTTATAGACTAACTGTATGTAAAAAGATTAAAGCCAGAAACATATTAACGTGTCGTGTCGCGCCAGAAGCACATCGGTTTCATACATTAACTATGGTTAGAGACATATATACATGTCGTGTCGTGTCGACGCTTTAACCTCTCTCTCTCTCTCTTTAACCCATAATAAATGTATGAAATCAATGCGTCACGACACGCCACGACACGTTTATATGTTTCGTGCTTAAGAAAGGAGTGGGAAAAACGACGAATGCTAAGATGTTGATCCAGTAAGGGATGCTATTGCAGAAACAAATATTTTGTAGTAAATATTGGTGCCAATTCTGGCGTGATTCTCTAAACTTAAATCTAAATTTAACATCAGTCCCTCCTTTTCATTCTGTATAGAGAATGACAAGGATATACTGCTGTCAAATTTAAGTTTAGGTTTAGAGAATCATGCTAGAATCGACACCATTGTATTCTAATAAAAATTTTAAATTTTGGGGGGTTTTCGCTTTAAAAACCTATATTGTGCACACGGACGTAGCAGGCTCAGTGGCACCGAGTGCTAGTCGCCACGATTCAAAACTCAAACATTTATTCAGTCTAGGCTGTTACAAGCACTTATGAAGGTCAAGAGAGAGATTAACTTTTTTGTCCGCGTGCTTACTAGAAGGCGCTAAGGTGATACAAGGGCTGGAGATGCCTCAGGGTCATGTCATGGGCCATTATCCCAATTCCATCCATATGTAAGATCTGTGCCCCAGCAGTGGGTACATTAATAGGCTGATGATGATCAATAAATACAGACCTAATTAGAGTCGGTTATAAATTATGAATAATTATTATGTAGATCCAAAACAATGCGTATAAATCTCGAAAGTTGTATATACTGTATAAGTTCATAATATGTCTAACGTATAACTGAGGAACTAGATTGCTACAAAATAAATTGTCTCCTGAGCTGAGATACTCAGTTTCAAAATACATATAATGTTCCTTACGCGGACGCCGAGATTACAATTTGCACTTTAATAATTACGCAATAAACCAATAATTTAATAAATCACTTTTTAAACAGCTATAATCTACTTTGCAATCACAGAGACTAAAAGTATAAAGGATCCATAAAACATCAAAAGTAAAGTAACGCGCATATATTCCTTCTAAAAGTGTTTTATTTTTTATTCATAATAAAAGATACCTTTTCTAGTAAAACTTTTCTTTAGATTTAAACATCTAGTAGTTAAATGCTTAAAAATAAATAAAATCATAAAGATACCTTTGTTCGTATATAAATGTTTAATATATTAATCGCTACCATTATAAAAGTAATAATAGGAGATAAATATAATATTCTTACAGACTACAGGAAAATGTAATTGAACAAGATTTATGTAGTTTCCTCCAATTTTCTTAGCAAAATTTGACTTGCTGGGTCTTCCTTCAGCGCTGCTAACATCGATTTCTGAAAAAAGGTATAAATCAGTAACAATGCCCTTTCACCTTAAACTTAGCATACCTACATTTCGAGGTCAATTACATATTATAGAACAGAAAGTTAACACCGACATGACACAAACACTTGAAGTTACGAAAATGTGCACTTTTTATGAGGTAATGTGGCGAAACATTAGTGAATAGACGAACAATTATAACTAATTCAATGGCCAACTGAGTTGTTGGCAAAGCAAATAAGGTGTTTTAGTTTTGGTAAATGAAGGAAAATTAACATAACACAAAAATACGTGATTTCGTTGCTGTCAAGTTATTAATTAATTATTTTCGTTTTTTTTTTTACAACAAAGAGTAAAGTAATCCTTAAGTTATAATATGGCTATATAGGTTGTACTAATTTTTGTTTTAATTAAACTTTTTGTCTCCTGATTACTTTCGAATATCTGACACAAACGGGGTGGGCTTAAAAAGATTTACTAGGAATAAGTCCACCTTCCTCATCCCTTATTTTATTATAGCTTTACAAGACCATGTCCTGATCCAACTGAATTTGTTTTGACTGCAATCCTCAGAGACATAAATATCTCGTGTAGCATCGTATACCTCTAAAAAAATTTAATTTAGACACCAAGAAACTTCTCTCAAAGACAAGTCTCGTTTAAACATTTGTGATTAAGAAAAAATTGTATAGTCTAAGCCAAACCAAGTTATCCTAAAGTGTCCTTATTCATATTAGGCTAAACTAGTTTAAATATATGTATATTTCTTTGTTTTATCTTGCTGGCATACTACAACTTCCCCTTCGTTTAGCTATCTTTTAATTCAATTCATTTATTGCAGACCATAATGGAGATACAAAGGTGGTAATATATAGATAAAAAGTGCATTATGGACCCTGTAGTGTAGGGTATCGCAATTGCAAGAAGAGAGGACGTCTTATTCATAATTCCTTATTGTGATATAATTTGTTATATCCAAAAAATATTTTTATGGGTTTTACCCATAGTAAAAACTACTAGTTTTCTAGTATGGTCAGTGCATTCGCCCGGATAGCGAAGGATGCGGGTTCGAGTCCCGTCCGCTGCCTGGTCCGCGTGGATTTTTTTCTAGTAAAACTATTCTTTAGATTTAAACATCTAGCAGTTAAATGCTTAAAAAATAAAAATAAAATCATAAATTTACAAATCTCAAATATATAAATGCTTGGCAAAGAAAGAATTTCATATTTTATGGAAGTAAGGTTTACAACTTTCAGTTTGGTTAATATTAAAAATAATACGAATAAGTTTCTTTTGTAGTATAAATTAAGAGGATACGTCAGTACTGTTCCCCCACAAGATTATTCCATAGGTAAACCAGGCATTGGCATAAGCATAATATGTGATAAGAGCAGTCTTTAGATCTGTTGTTTTTTGACCTCTCGGAGTGCATATGTAAAGCTAGATAATTTATTTTTTAACATCTGGATGTGAGATTTCCAATTTAAGTTAGTGTCTACAGTTATACCCAGTAATGAAAAATCATTCAGAAATCAGAAATCAAAGTTTGTAAGTTGTTGTTGTTTTTACAAGATGTGAGAAGAGAAATATCGTCCGCAAAGAGGACACGCGGTTCCTCTATTATTTTAGGGAGGTCATTGATATAAATTAGAAAAAGGAGACATCCGATGACGCTCCCCTGAGGAATGGAAGCGTTTATAGTTTTACTTTCAGAGAGAACCTTTATTATTTCTTTGTGTATATGATCAAAATATTCTATTTCAACAAATTGCTGACGGTTTTGCAAATAACTTTTAAACCACTTGTGCGCTGTTCCGCGAATGCCTATTAAGTGTAATTTATTAAGTAGTATTTTATGATTAACACTATCATATGCTTTCGACATATCCAATAGAATTCCAATAGCATATTTTTTATCTTCTATTACTTTAATTATTTGCTGAACATATTTATAAACAGCCAAAACTGTAGACCGTTTCTTCCTAAAGCCATTTTGGCTTCATCGAAGATTTCAAACTTTTCGCAGAACTTAATAACACGATCATTCATTGCTTTTTCAAATATCTTTGACGAAGTAGACAACAGGGCGATGGGACGGTAATTGTTAGCATTTGATTTGTCATTTTTCTTATGGATAGGCTTGATAATTGTTGTTTTTAGTAATGTAGGGAAAACACCATCTTTGAAGGACTGATTAATCAACATTGTAAATGGCAAAGTTAACTAATCGGCACACTCCTTGATTAAGCAGGGCGGCAATTCATCCAATCCATAGCTATTTATATTTTTTAAATTCCTAATGATTTTCCTTACTTCGTAAGGTTCCACTGGGCTTAGAAACATGGTGTTAGGCGTAGGGTTGAGCACGTGAGTACCACAGCCGCTATCAGTCGACAAAGTTGATTCACCAACGGAAGAAAAGAAGTTATTAAAATATTTGCAATGGATTTAGGTTCGGAATACAATATATTGTTATAATTTAGTTTTATATTATATTTATCTTTATATTTTTTTTGTTTGTCGTTTCATTCACTGTACTCCACATAGTTTTAACTTTATTATTAGATTTAGACTTGCAACGAATAGTATATTGGGCAGTATACCGAATACCGAATATTCGGCGAGGCCCCTAACTGAATAGCAGAATATTAGGCAAAAGCATTCGGCTGGATTTTAGCGCCAAAAATTTGTACAGACTTGATTGCTTCGCGCTCCTTTGTTTTGTTCTAATCTGCTGTCCTCAAGCTAAAATGCGGCTAAATGACAAAACCAACTTTTGAGATATGGCCAAAAACGGCGCGTTCACATGACTGAATGAATTAAAAACTGCTAACTTGTTTAATACAGAAAATGATTAAATTATGTACCTGTTTTATGTACCAATGACTACTTAATAAATGATTATTAAAAAGAAATTAGAACCTTACCCTTCTAAATTTTGATTACCACAATAATTCAAATACATATAATCCTCCATTTTTCCAATTCAGAAGATGATAATGTACCTGTGTTATGTACCAATGACTACTTAAATGATTATATAACAGAAATGAAATTATGAATATATATGTTACGCTCAAAGATCGAAAACGCTCAGTGAGCGGAAAAATAGCTGACAACGCGTTGTGGTCACAGTAAAACATCCACATGGCGAAATTCGTGTTATGACTCTAATGAAAACGCGCACGACGCGTTGTGGCAATCAAAGAAAGACCAAGTAGCGAAATTCGTGTCATGCCTGACATGCTATTCGATCTCAACGCGTTGTGGCAATGAAGAAAAGCCATGACGCGTTCTGAGCATTCATTGTTTTAACCATATCACGACGGACATAAACAGAAAAGAAATGAATAAAACTGATGTTTCAATGCATCTTTGCACCCGAGCCGACACCGACAAGTTACAACCTGTCCGTCGTGATATGGTTAAAACAATGAATGCTCAGAACGCGTCATGGCTTTTCTTCATTGCCACAACGCGTGAGATTGAATACCATGTCAGCCACGACACGAATTTCGCTATTTGGTCTTTCTGTGATTGCCACAACGCATCGTGCGCGTTTTCATTAGAGCCATAACACGAATTTCGCCATGTGGATGTTTTACTGTGACCACAACGCGTTGTGAGCTATTTTTCCGCTCACTGAGCGTTTTCGATCTTTGAGCGTAACATATACGTAATCAATCGATTTTAATTTTTCATTTTACCAATTATTTCGCTATGACAAAATGTATTATTTAAGTATTCGGTATTCGGCCGAATAATATGTAGATATTCGGTATTCGGCCGAATATAATAAAAGCAGCCGAATAGGCCGATTACCGAATAGTAACCGAATATTCGTTGCAAGTCTAATTCAAATACATAGAATCGTCCATTTTTCCAATTCAAAAGATGTTTATGTACCTGTGTTATGTACCAATGACTACTTAAATGATTATATATAACAGAAATCAAAATATGAATATATACGTAATTAATCGATTTTAATTTTTCATTTTACCAATCATTTATTACTCTATGACAAAATGTATTATTTAAGTATTCGGTATTCGGCCGAATATAATAAAAGCAGCCGAATAGGCCGAATACCGAATAGTAACCGAATATTCGTTGAAAGTCTAATTAGATTGTTTTATTCTGTTTATAAAGTGTAACTTTTTTTGCACATATTATAGATTTTTTAAGTATTTTTATATATTTTTTTTAATGTGATCTTAATATAGGATTATTAGATTTAGTGTTAAATATTTTAAGTAGCCTTTTATGTTGACATGATTTTTTTATTCCTATTGTTAACCAGACTTTTATATTTTATATGACTTTAAATTTTCTTTTAGGGATATATTGATTTAGTATTTCTGATAATGTATTGTTAAATGCAACATAATTTTCATTTATATTTTTAATAATTATTTTATTTCAATCAACTGACTGTAATTTTTCTTTATATTCTGAGATTGCCTTTTTATTATATATTCGCTTTTCTACATACCAAGTGCTGTCCTTTACTTGTTTAGGTATCTTGAGTTCTACGTATATACCTGAGTGATATGAAAAACCCAAAGCCTCCACCGAGGTTTTTATGTGCTTACTATCAAAATTGGTAAAGATGTGGTCTATACATGTTGAAGATGTTGGTGTAAAATGTGTCGGTTCCTTAATATGTTGAGTAAATTTAAATTCTAACATAAAGTTTAAGAATTCTAATGCCTTTTTGTTACGATCTAATAAGTTAATGTTAAAATCCCCAGCTATTATTACTTTGTATTTTGTATATTTGCTATTTACATAATTCAGAATCTTATTTAATCGGCTATAAAATAAGACCTCCTCCCGTCTGTTCCAGTACATTACAATTAAAAGTATATTTTCTTTAACTAGCTCGATTGCGCAGACCTCCAGCATATACTCAATTGACATCTTCTTTATATCATTATTCTCAATAGACTCAATATGCTGCTATGTTTTCTGGAAAATGAGGCAGCTATTTTATATCCATTAATTTGTACCATCTGAAGTTTTTCCTGTGAAAGCCAGATCAGAAATACATAATGCATGGTGTGGCGGATTTTGCTCTAGGAATGATTCCAAAATATCTCGTTTATTATATAAACTTTGCATGATTTGATAAAGAATTTTAAATGGTGGTTTTGTAGTTTCGAAAGTTGTGATTTACTCCATCCCTTTTCTCGCCTACTTGATTACTACTTGTACCGCAAAGGTTGTCTGAAAAGCAATAAGGCCGCCTTTGTCTACATTATGTTACTGTTTACTTTTTTTTGTATTCTTTTCTGTGTATGCAATAAATAATTTATTTATCTAGTTCAGCCTAGGTTAAAGTATTTTTTCCTATAGGCCATAGAATGAACCAGTTTAGTCGAGTCTGTACCAATTTATTATATCGCCTAAAGGATGAATTGATTTGGTCTAGGAAAAACTAGTTAAGTCCTAAAATCGGGTTTGGCCGGTAACATATACATCAAATCATGCAATAAAGAGTAGATTTTTCCTGGTGGAATCTGTAATTTGAACGCAAAAATCCGTTTTATGCCGTCTCTATGAAAATACTTAGGTACTATGAAACTATGTCCAAAAAGTAAAACATGACCTTATCTATACTGAAGCGAAGCCTTTGTAAGACACTCGTTTAAAATAACACTTAATACGAAACCTATGCATATAAAAATCAATTGTTGTTCGTTAGTCTCGCTAAAACTCGAGAACGGCTGAACGGATTTATCTTGGTCTTGAAATGTTCGTGGAGGTCTAGGGAAGGTTTAAAAGGTGAGAAAATATGGAAAAATTGCGAGGAACATAGTAAAAACGTCAATTTAATTTTCCCATATAAACTGTTCTATCTTCTTTCCTGTCAAACATTTGACGTTCGCCCCTTTTGGTACGGTAGACTCGGGTCCGTCATTTCTTCCAAATTATTTTAACCCGTACGAAGTACGCAGGGTCAACTAGTATTAAATAAAAAAATAGTCAATACTTACGGCTATTTTATTGTTGGAATCCTGCAATTTCTGTGATAAGATCCACAGGTTGGCAGCCAGACTGAGCATGGGTGGCTTGCTCAGATCGCCGCGTCTGACCACGCGCCAGAACAATTCAAGTGCCAAATTATACTGCTTCTTCGTTTCCTTCGCATCTCCGAGCAACTTCAGAACTAATAACAACTCCTGACATATATTCGTGGCGTGTTTGTCCAATACTTGGATGAATTCGTCTTCCGAACCGTATAATTTGTCGTTAGAAAGCACTGTCGGCGGAAAAAACAAAACAATTAAAATTAAAAGAGATTAACAAATATCTAAAAACTTGGCGGTTTAATTTGATTTCCTTTAAGATTTCGAAGTTTTTCCAAGGTCACAATGAATTATTATTAGGCGAAAAACTAATCGAACTAATTTAATCAGTTGCTCGATAGTTACCTTTTATATATTTATTTTGAAGTTTATAAAATACTAACTAAGAACATTGTGCGTTAAGTAATGTTTAACTAAAGTACTACTACTCGTTCAAAACATAATTACTCTTTCTTCTAAATCCAGCGGTGATCAGAGACGCCAATTCATTTGTAAATCATGTCAGAATCGTGATCCTGACATGATTCTCTAAACTAAATTTAAAATCAGTCTCCCCTTTTCATTCTTTAAAGAGAATGACCAGGATACACTGTTCTCAAATTTTAAACTTAAATAGGTTTAAAGAATTATGCCAGAATCGACACCAATGTTGCTTTCTCCTTTTTTCAAATTAATTTTATTATGATTATACATTAATTTTAATTGTAGTCTTCAGATACGCCAGTGAAAAAAGTGCCACACAAAAATATGTTACTATAAAAATACTGAATATAAAATTATGTAAAATACTTTTACTAACCGGCTTCAATGTGATAGGCATATGTGTCTTGGGACATCTCACACAATAAATCCAAGACATGCAGGAGACTATTGTAATACAAGGGTTCCAATTTACTCCAGTGTATTCTCTCGATCATCCTTATGAAACCACTTAATATGTAAGCTTTGCAATTTGTGTCCACGTTATCCTAAAATAAGTGTTATGTTAAAATGTACGCAAATTCTATGGTTTTTTTTCTATATAAATGGGTACTTAATTGTAAAATAAGCTGTTCATATATGTGGGTTGCTACTATTTACAATAAATAATTTCTTCAGAAAATGTATCTCTGAAAATCCATGCCATTATTGCAAGCATATAGTAAGTCAGCCAGCGTCCTCTTTTTTACTGGAGTTACTTGAATTGCCTTTTTGTTGGCTATTACTGTTAAACAGTTACAACAAAAAAAGGTTTAGCAACTTCAAACATCTTAATAGTTGCGGGTCCGTGTAGTTTTTTCATAAACCACGGTGACAGTTTGCCAGCTAATCACCTACAATCGTTTCCGAATCTGTATGGCTATGCGAGAGAAGTTTAAACTATGCATACGAATATTTACTGGCTACTGAACGGCCGTCGCAGGAGGCGGTTACGCGAACAAAAAAATTTAACTAGAAATTCGTTCAGAGTGCGCGTGTCCATTCCGGACTTACGACAAATTGGCACGTCATTATAAATAGATATTTAATATGTAAAGTTAATGTGTTTTTGTGAATAATTGATTTTATATAATATAATTATGTATATTTAATATGTTTATTTATAATAATGTATATTATGTTTATATATATTTCTTTTATTTATTACTATATATGGAAATCAATACAATGTTGGGATAAGCCCACAAGGGCAATGCTTCTTAAACCTTTTGTCACTGGTCACTACCAGATTTTTTATATACAGTGCGGTAAACGGAAAAACGCAACCCTGACAGGTCGTGTCAATTTCTTATGGAGATAGAATTTGAATATAATATTATCGGACCTCTTTTTTACTTGTTCGAAAGTTATGGAACTGATCGACCTGCTAGGTCACAATCTTTTGTTGGCCGCAGCTTAAAATGATTGGCTAAAAAGCGTATGGCAAGCCTGACAGTAAGCAACTGCCATAGTCTATTCGCGCTTGCGATACCAGAGTTCACACACTGACCCCATCTCCTGCCCCGTGGATTTCTAGAGCCTTACTCATCAATCCACGCAGACCGGGCATGTATTGGGCAATGCCCGAAAGAAATATTATTTTACTTTATCTTTTAGTTTATTAGGTTAACATCAAGTCTAACTGTACTCCACGTTTTGCACATGTTAAGTTAGCTTTAAGTAGTTTATACTCGTAGATACTCGGGCTACTGTACCAAGTATGACCGTACTTTAATTGTACTTATATTTTTAGTTCGAATTGGAGCTTCTGTTTGTGGAAGTGCTTACCCCTACAAAAGAGCATATTAAAATAACATAACTTTTTGGCGGTAACAGAAATCTGTTAATGAGTTAGGTGTACATATCTTTACGGAATAGAGGATTACATTCAGGTCGTTTAGGTATGGATGACTGATGAATTTATGCAAACCAATTTGAGATTAAATTCAAAGTTACTACCTAATTATACGTAAAAGTGCAAATGGTTTAAAATAAAATAGAATGAAAAGATATTGCCGGATAACCTGATTATATAGCAGGTCTGAGAAGGGATGGCGGTATGACCGCCGCGCCGATCTTTTCGAGTGCTTTATACCTACTTTTTATAAAAACGTAACGTTAGAGCGATTAAGAAGTCGTTGCCGTTGTACTCGCGGGAGCGTTGTGAAACTAATGATATTATATTGTGATTTATAAATAGGTTTTTTTAGATTTTGTTGCAATGCGCTGAAAACAGAATGCTAACCATTAGGTTAGCGTTCTGTTTTCAGCGCATTGCAATGGATCAATTGTTTAATAACAATTGACCCAGTTTCAAAAAGAATTCCATATTTTAAATTAAAAATAATTTGAACCTGGAATTCTTAGTGAAAAAAGAAAAAAAAATGACGCGAATTAGCAAGAAAGGCAATTTCATGGGTAAAGACCTATTTTTTTAATGTGTTATTATAAAAAAAAACTATGTGAATTTATTATTTAAAAGTTTTTAAAGCTGTTTAAAGATCTGGCCGATAAATCTTTGCTTTATTTACGTATTACAATATATAGAAATAAAATAACAACAATTTAAAAACTACCTAATATATAAAAAAAACCGGCCAAGTGCGAGTCGGACTCGCGCACAGAGGGTTCCATACAAACTCAATTTAATACCTCTACGCGTTCATGAGAAAAGAGATAGTAATTTTAAAATTCTTTTTTTTTTATGATGTTACTAAAAATTTACGGTTTTCGCGATTTTTCCTGTATCTGTACTATAAGACGTTACTTCGTACCAAATTTCAAGATTCTAAGTTCACGGGAAGTACCCCGCGGTAGGGCTGCCATCTCTAAAATGTGGCAACCAGGATCGGAGGCGTGATAACCCCGGATTTTTAACCGAAAACAGTTAAAAATGTCACAAATCAACTTTTTTTATGTTGATGTAGGCAAAAGAGCTAGCGGTCTACCTCATAGTAAGCGGTCAATGCTGCCCATGGACACTTGCAGCACCAAGGGCCACTCATGCGTTGCCGGCTCTGAACGAAAAGGTTCATCCGCCTTTTTAAGATTACCATATCATAGCTATAAGAAAAAATACTGAGGAAAGTTCGTTCTAGATCTTGCTGGTACGTAATGCATGGTTGCCTTTAACTACTTATAAATAATGGTACGGACCCCTTAAAATTAAATACATATTACCTTAAACTAGTTATAAATAATATCTAATTTACAAAATGAAAAATAAGTCACCCCCAGCGCCGCCTTGATCAGTTGAAGAAAAATATACTTATTGAGTATAGATATAGCAATAATACTAACTGGTAACATCAGCAGTGTCGAGAGAAAATCGCTTATGATTCCGCTGACTTTAGTTTGTGTAGGTTTCCTTTGATTATCTTCTAGTGTAAACTCAGGTATGTCAGGGATCAGTCCAACGAGTGCTTTGAAGTTAGCTTCAGCTGTAAACAATTTATATTATGAGCTTATAGTCGCAAAAAATAGTAATAGATACGTAAAGGTAGTATTCCGATTCCGGCAACCCCTGGCGTGGGGCCGTTCAAGCATTACGTAAGCACTATAGGGAGGCAGGACCTCTTTGCTTTGCTTATTTTTGATGACATGAGGAGTGTGGGGGGTCGGGATAGTGATTACGTCAGCTTCATGGATCCGGGTGTCATGGACTGAAGACTGCTAATTGGAATTAATATGTATACCAAAAATTCGAAAGAAGTTTGTTTTGTTCGTAAAAGTAATTAATAAGATTATAATATTTGGACCTTACTCTATGTTGGATACAGTGTCAATAAAGTTTGTTTTAATGAATATAATGTGCGTAAAAGTCCTCTATCCTAAGCCTATTTAAGTACTGCTGCTCATGAAGCTCATGAAAGCTCTTGAATCAATAAAAAAAACAGAACCTATCAAAGGAAAAATGCATGTAGGTACCAATGTTTACATAAGCATTTAAAGAGCTTTGCTTACTTTTTCTGACAAGGGGGAGGAGGGACTAAATAATTGTAATAAATCTGCTTACGTAATACTTGAACGGCCTCTCTGCGGTGCTGCCAAGAGTCTGGTAGCCTGGATAAGAGATATGGAGTGAATGTAAAAAGTTGTGTGTTGGGTCAGCTTTGAGTATTCATCAAAGTTAAGCTATGGCTATATATATGAGCTATAAACTATGTCTCTTAACAAGAGATCGGATTATCGGATGCATATTTACCTAAAATTGAGATGTTGGCTATTATGGAAAGCACACACTTTTTTATCGAAAAAATCACGCGTTTTCCGGAAATTTAAGTGAATACTCAGTGAGATCTAATAAACCCAGATTGAAACAAATGACAGTTGGCCTGTGGGTATAACATTAAAATATTGTGTAATATATTGTTTTAAACTTTAATGGTCACTAACATTATAGCTATTAACGGGATTGTTGCCATGTACCTTATTTTTATGAGACTCTGATATTTCGGCACTGTTGCAAGCGCCATGATCACGGAGTAACTGAAGTAATTGCGACTCACTATTCTCACTATTCACTCGCACTTGTCGGGAACAAGTGCGAGTGAATAGTGAGAATGTGACCAATGGTAGGGATATCAAGCGCAGTAAAAGACGACGTCAGAGGGTAGACCGATATGTCTGCCAATAATATCTACCCGCAATTACTTCAGTTACTCCGTGATCACGGCGCTTGCAACAGTGCCGAAATATCGGAGACTAATAAAAAACAAGGTACATGGTAACAATCCCGTTAATAGCTATAATTGTGTAATATGTCTATAATGAATAAATAAATTTATGGTTTCTTAATATACCCGCATACCCGCTAACGACTAAGTATAATTGAGCCATTATCATGAAGTTTCGACTAGGTTATACCGGTTGTGGTCACGGGGTGACCCAGGGGTGGTGGCGAAAGAAGCTACGAAAACCTTAAATAAAGTGCGCGTTTCATCGTTAAATATTATATTTATATTATAGTTAGTATCAGACAAGACAAGACCCAAAACAGCAATTTTCCTGCAGTTATTTGTGGTAAAATTTCTACTGTAGCAGTTAAATGATAAATAAAAAAATATTACATGTAACTACCTAATTATCACATAGCAATTTCCACTTTTTCAACTATTTGATACTTGTAAGTTTTATGAAGTTGGCGTTGTGGTAATATCTGTGAAGCAGTGCCGGTGTTCAAGTTAACAGAGGCATTCTTTGACCTCATTCTTCGACTAAAATATAGTGATTGTGGTGGCATTTGATGCAGAGTTGATCTTCTACCCCCGCCCACACTACGCGCCCCTGAAAGCACCGCTAATCTGTTGACTGCCAACGAGCCACGGCTACTACAGTAATAATAACCGTGGTGACGTCACCAATTCCGCCGATCCAGAGTTAATCTCGCTAGCCCGCCCACACCACGCGCCCCTGAGAGCGCCGGTAATATGTTGACTGCCAACGAAGCACGACCACTACTGCAATAATGACCGTGGTGACGTCACGTTACCCCCGATGTAGAGTTGATCTCCCTCCCCCGCACATACTATGCCCCTGACTAAACGCATCGCCGCCAGCTTGTTGACTGCCTACGAGAAACAGCTATGATGATGATCGTGGTGGTGTCACCGGTGGTGCCCGATGCTGAGTTGATCTCCCTTCCAAACCCACACTGCCTACGAGGCACAGGTACAATATGATCGCAGTGACGTCACCTTGCACAACGATAGTAGATGTCCCTCCCACACCCGCGCTGCCTACGAGGCACAGTTACGATACGATCGCGGTGACGTCACCTTGCCCGACGAAAGTTGATCTCCCTCCCACACCCGCACTGCCTATGAGGCACAGCTACAATATGATCGCGGTGACGTCACCTTGCCCGACGAGAGTTTCTCTCCATCCCACAACCGCGCTGCCTACGAGGCACAACTACAATATGGTCTCGGTGACGTCAGCATCCCTGATGCAGAGTTGATCTCCCTCCCCCGTCCACATTACGTGCCCCTGAAAGCGCCGCCAGCCTGTCGACTGCTTACGAGGCACAGCTATTATAATATTATCGCGATGACGTCACCTTACCCGACGAGAGTGTCTCTCCATTCCACAACCGCACTGCCTACGAGGCACAATTACAATATGATCTCAGTGACGTCAGCATGCTTGATGAAGAGTTGATCTCCCTTCCCCGCCCACATTACGTGCTCCTGAAAGCGCCGCCAGCCTGTTGACTGCCTACGAGGCACAGCTACTATAATATGATTATGGGGCCATCACCTTACCCGATACAGAGTTCCTCCTCTAACACTCGCGCCCCTGCAAACGCCGCTGTTCTGTTAACTGCCTACGAGGCACAGCCACTATAGTATGATCGAGGTCACGTCACCTTGCCCGATGCAGTTGTTGAGCAGCGCCACCTGCCCGGACAGCAAGTAGAGGTGCGCGCGCACGAGCCCGCAGTGCAGCGATGGCACGGTCACAAAACAGTACGCGGCGCATGCGCGCTGCAGCCATCTCCCTCCCACACCCGCACTACGCGCCCCTGAACGCGCTGCTAGCTTATTTACTGCCTAAGATACACAACTAGTATATTATCCATACTTCCCAACGATATTAAATACCCTAGATACAAAACCACGAACAAAATTGTAAGGAATTACAATATATTTATTGATTCATACTTGATTTATATTTATAATATGATTATCTTTTTTTGTTAACTGTAAAATTTGTCTATGGTTGGCAGAATGCTTATAACCTTTGCGTTCGCTCACGCGGTGCAGTGACATTCCTTTCGCTCAGCCATCGGCGATCAGTGTGACCGTTTTTGGTATTTTCGGTACTAAATTGGTATAATTCGGGCTCCGTAAAACTGATCTAGCTTTTTGTTGGTATAATTTAAAAATCTGGTATTTTTTAGTACAATTTTAAACTTAGAACAAGTTTTAGCATATTTTTCGCATTATTTTTTGGCAATTGGCAACACTGACTTCCATTCGTTCACTTAAGTCTTCTACGCACTATCCATCTTGCTGGATCCAGCACGCGGGACAGCGCTATACACGTAAAAGAGATGGGGATACAGGATCTCTAGATATGGAATTACATGAAATATACTTAGGTGTAAAAGTATCTAATGAAATAGCGCTGTTAAGAAGTCAATCAAATAATAGTACTATCGAAATTAGATATTTTTGCTAAGGTGTCAAAGCTTTTTGATTGAGCTATGTAATCAACTTAAATGTAGATTTCACATTAATGAAAAAATGTTTTCCGAGTTACGATTCATAGATCCACAAGTAGCGACTTATGAAAATTTTACATCGCTAATCAGCGTTATGAATAGGTTTTCAAACATCATAACAAATGATACCACAAAACAATTGATTGACGAGGAATATCGTCAAATTAAATACGATTCCGAAGTACAAAACTTAATGTGTGTTCCAGTAGTAGTACAAGGGCAGCTGTAAATGTAGAACAGTTTTGGGACAAACTGAGTCATTTTCTTGATAGTAGAAACGTCCCTAAATACAAAAATTTTACTAACTTTGTTAAATGTCTAATCTGCATACCCATTTCTAAAGCTGAATGCGAAAGATTTTTCAAAAGTAAATATTGTTAAAACAAACTATAGAAACAGATTTATATCTAAACATATTGCGAGCATTTTACATGTAAAACAAGATCTAAATGAAAATTGTGTCTCATTTGACCCACCGAAAGACATGTTAAAAAAAACTCGTTGAATATTGACTATTTAGAATAATTCATATGTGTAAATATAATTTTATTGTTTAAAATGATAATAAATACAATTTGAACGAAGTGTTTGTTTGTTTGTCCTTCTTTCACGATCCAGCGGGGAAAGTTAGTTTCAGTATATTTTTAGTATAATCCAGCATGAGCTTTGGTATTATTTAGTACTGGGAACATTATGATTTTAGTAGATCACCTTTTTTTAAAACGGTCACACTGTCGGCGATTCATTCTCTCGAGTGACGCGGTGTCGGACGGTCGTCTCGTAAAGTCATACTGTTACAATACTTAAAAGTGTAAAAGGATCACCGAACTGTTGAAAGCAAGAACAATTAAATAATTATTATGTATCTTCCCTAAACGTAGCTGTAAAAATATTATAGTTTTGTTAACAGAGTAAAACCTTTCGCAATAATGCTCGCCAAAATTATGAACTGTTGTTTTACTCCACGTGTTCCAATAGTTTCAGAAGTGGGATAGGCTGGTATTATTTTACTAAATCACTTGCTTATTATCCCGCCCACGTGATTTCGATAAACGTATACTTTTGATATTATTTATTCTTAATGTGGGTATTGCCTGCCATTGACAAACATAATTTCAAAAATAAACCTTCATAGTAATTTCAAAATTTTTATATAACGTTTTTTTTTGTTTTTGCATATTTTTTTTTTTTGTATAAATCTAAAGTTGACGCTTTTTAAGTGCATAATTATGTTGTTATTGCATACCTCCGGGGTTTTTAAGGGGGTCGGAAAATTTACCATTTTTGAGCTACGACGCATACTTTTTGAGTTATTAACGATTTTGTAAAAAAAAAACATTAAATAAATTACGTTAATACAAAAATTATTTTGTCTCATGTATGGAAAACATAACAAGCTAGTTTTATTTATTTTCTTTCTTTCTTTCCGTATTTTTTAACTACCCTCATAAGTTAAGCTATTTTTTTTAATTCTACCCTCAGAATATAAATTATTGAATTGACTTTTATTCTATCTCTATTAGAGATAAGTCCTCCCTTACATACTACTGCTTTGTTTTTTTTTATTATGTGTATATTTAGTGCAATAAAAAGTTTATACGTGTAGTCCATTGCGATTGAAGTTGCCCTAGCAGCGACTAAACTTTACGGTCGTGAGTTTCAGATAAAATGGAGCACGGTAGCGAGCAGGCACGGCTTGCTGATCATGGTAACGTGACTGCGCAGACTGGCACGGAAATGGAGAACGCCACTGCTGGGTGTAGCCGGCGTTCTCGGCTGCGGCCGACTGAAATATTGAGTAAGGGAGCGGAAGGGAGCCCTGAAGGTAGGCAAAGCCGCAAGCACTTATATAACAATGAATTTAGCCCGGTTATCCCGGTGAGTGGGAGACCGTCGCGTTTAAGAGCGCGTAGGTCAAAAGAATTGAGCATGGAGTCGCCGAGGCAACGCCAATATGGCGGGGAGTCTCGACGACGACGGTCTAGGGATGGATCTATATCGATAGATCGCGTGGCGCATTTTAGTCGCGCTAAGTACGCTGAAGAGCGATCGTATCGTAGACCACGTCTACGACCAGGATCAATGTATGAAAGTGGTTCACGCAGCAGTTCTGAGGAATGCTTACGCAACAAACATTCTAGGAGTTCGTGTGCACGTCAGGGTAACGATAAACGATAAAGGAATCTTTCCTTAGTAACGCGAGCTGTTCGTATTGATCGTATTAGTGAAGTATGTGCAATAGCCGTAGACAATGTTTGTACTGATGAAACTATACTTTGTGGACTCAAAATTACTAAGACAGAACGGGTTTTATTAAAATCACTGTTGTTAAAGTATAATCATTGTTTTTCATCGGCACTTAAAGATCTAAGTTTGACAAACGCGGGAGAAATGACAATAGAGGTAGAAAATAATGAACCGGTTGTATACAGACCATATAGGATGTCGATAGCTGAGCGTAATATAACCCGCGATATGGTTAGTGAAATGTTAAATGCTGGTATTATACGGGAATCATCTTCACCGTATGCAAGCCCTATTTTACTTGTAAAAAAGAAAACAGGAGACAAAAGGCTTTGTGTTGACTACCGCGCCTTAAATAGAAGGACCAAGAAGGATCATTATCCTTTGCCCCGGGTTGAAGACCAGTTGGATAGGCTTGCTGGTAATAAGTTGTTTACTTCTTTAGATTTGGCCTCAGGGTACTACCAGATCCCTATCTCCCCCTCATCTCAAGAAAAGACTGCGTTCATTTCACCGGATGGGCAGTATGAGTACACTCGAATACCATTCGGCTTAGTGAACGCACCTTCTGTATTCCAAAGAACCATGAATAAGATACTTGCGGAGGCGAAAATTAAATATGCGCTTATTTATATGGACGACATTTTAATTCCCTCTCGTTCTTTTGCAGAAGGTCTTAGTAGGCTTATAGAAGTGCTTAATCTGTTACGAAGTGGAGGTCTCACTTTAAAATTAGCTAAATGTAGATTTTTCTTTGAGGAGGTAGACTTCCTAGGCTTCGAAGTTAGTTCTAGTGGTATTAGACCCGGCGTGCGTAAAACTGAGGCAGTATCTAAGTTTCCGACTCCACAAAATCAACTCGAAGTCAGGCAATTCATTGGCCTAGCCATCTTTTTCAGAAGGTTCGTTCGTGGTGTTGCTGTAATAAGCAGACCATTGACGGACCTTTTGAGGAAGGACTACCCGTGGAAATGGTCGGAAGAGCAAGAGCAAGCGTTCAAGTCATTGAAAGAAGCTCTTGTTACGAGGCCGATTTAAGCTCTCTATGACCCTAAACGTGAAACGCAATTACACACGGATGCGTGTAAATACGGAGTGGCGGATTGCAGAAAGGTGATGAGGGTTTATATAAGGCGGTCTCGTATTTTAGCCGTAAGACTACACCTGATGAACAACGGTTGCATTCGTTCGAATTAGAAACTCTTGCGGTTGTAGCCTCACTCAATAGGTATCGTGTATATTTAATCGGCGTCCCTTTCAAAATATTTACGGACTGTAATGCGCTTAGGACCACCTTAACTAAACGTGATTTGATTCCTCGTATCGCCCGTTGGTGGATACAGCTTACTGAGTTTGATTGTGAGATAGAGTACCGACCTGGAGCCGGCATGTCGCATGTTGATGCGCTGAGCCGAAATCCGATAAGTCAAGCAAATTTAGACGATCACATTCTAGACGTACTCGCCACTGAAACTGAAAATTGGATAGCAGTGCAGTCTTGTGACGACGAGTTATCTCGTATTAAGTGATACAAAATCTGAAAAGGTTGTCCATATTTTAAAAAATTATAAAAGTAAAGGGGGTAAGTTATATCGTGTAACTGGTCTTAGTGGGAATGATGGTATGCGATGGGTCGTGCCGAAGGGAGTTCGATGGCAAGTAACAAAGATGAACCACGATGACATAGGGCATTTCAGCTTCGATAAAACTCTGCATAGGATCCAACAAACATTCTGGTTCCCTAAAATGAGGCGTTTCGTAAAAAATACGTGCGTGCGTGTCTAGAGTGCGGCCACCATAAGGACTCATCTGGAAAACAGCCGGGTGTTTTGCATCCTATCCCCAAAATCGAGATTACTTTCCACACGATCCACGCTGACCATCTGGGCCCCTTTATACGCAGCAAGCGGGGTAACGCATACCTTCTGGTTATAATTTGTGCATTTACGAAGTTCATTAATATTAATGCCGTTAAGAACACGAAGTCGTCGACTTCAATACGAGTTTTCAGGGAACATATGAGTTATTTTGGGACTCCTGTTAGACTTATCACCGATCAAGGCACTTCGTTTACGATTAATAGTTTTCGTTTATTCATAAGATCCAAAGGTGTCAAACATATTTTTAACGCAGTATCCACTCCACGGGCTAATGGCCAAGTAGAAAGATTTAATCTGTTCGATTTCGATTCTTGATGCTCTGTCTACTAAGAGTCATGGTAAAGATGACAAAGGTTGGGATGAGCTTGTACCGGACATACAGATTGGACTAAACACCACAAAGCATAAAACAACAGGTACCTTCAGAACTTTTATTTGGTTATAGGATTAAAAGTAGTACCGAGAATGTTCTTAGTGAGGTTATTGATGAGACGTTAGATATTATAGATACTGAAAATCTCTGTAATATTAGGCAAGAAGCCGGAGACAGAATCCGTACTCAACAAGCTAAAGACAAAAATATCTATGACAAGAAGCGTTTAAAAGACGTGGCCTTTTCAGTAGGGGACCTAGTAAGTGTTAGGCGAGAAACACCAAGCTATGGGAGATCTAAGAAATTAGTAGTTAAGTTTCAAGGGCCCTACAGGATTACTAAAGTACTACCAAATGACCGTTATTTAGTTGTAGATACGCCTATTACAAAAAAAAAGGGTAAACGTCATTATGAAAACGTGATAGCGGTAGACAAATTAAAACCATGGCTCAGTTTTGATAGAAATTACGGCAGTTCATAATCAGATAGCGACGAAAGTGATCTTGAAGAATTGACTTTGTTTAATAAATAGCTAGCATGACCGTTACAATTCTTTCCTATGACCATCACCTTAATTTATATTTCATTTACAATAAACAATTAAATGTACTATAGTATATATATGTCAAAACTTTATTTTGTGATAAAAAAAATCAAGTCAAAAAAAAATTATTTACCAGTTACTTTTTACCATTTTTTTTACAAAAAAAATGTCATAATGTTTTTTTTTCTTTCTATAAATTATTTTCGTTAAGATATATTAAGAGGATGGATTATATCACGTAAGTTGTATAATTATAGTATATAAAACTGTTTCGTGTATGTAAAATAATTGGTGCTTGTTACTCGTCAATTTGATTTATCAATGATAATTGTGTAGAGTTAAAAACAACTATTTAATTATTGATAAAAAAACAGTAATAATAATTATTTTTAAGTTTGATTAGTTAACAGCAAAGGGACTTTGCTTTAGCAGGATGGCCGAGCTGTAAGGAATTACAATATATTTATTGTTTCATACTTGATTTATATTTATAATATGATTATCTTTTTTTTGTTAACTGTAAAATTAGTCTATGGTTGGCAGAATGCTTATAACCTTTGCGTTCGCTCACGCGGTGCAGTGACATTCCTTTCGCTCAGCCATCGGCGATTCATTCTCTCGAGTGACGCGGTGTCGGACGGTCGTCTCGTAAAGTCATACTGTTACAATACTTAAAAGTGTAAAAAGGATCACCGAACTGTTGAAAGTAAGTACAATTAAATAATTATTATGTATCTTCCCTAAACGTAGCTGTAAAAATATTACCGTTTTGTTAACAGAGTAAAACCTTTCGCAATAAATCTCGTCAAAATTATGAACTGTTGTTTTACTCCACGTGTTCCAATAAAATCGTGGCCGAAACGTGCCCAAAAGGTACATTGGACGATCCACGGAGCTCCGTAAGATGATCGCGTGGTCAAAAACAATATAATGCATTATTTAAACATTGAAAGGCACCTTTAATGCATACTAATATCTTAATTAAAACGCATGCAAAGTCAAAGACTTATGACAGTTCGAAATGTAAGCTCGCAAAATTTAACGACTTATTCTTATATGCGGGAGAATATAGACCTTTTTTTATTGACTTTACGCGCAATTCTGAATACTGGAACTGTTAACCATGTAGCAGGTACAGACCGCGAGGAAAAGAGACGACTATACGGCGACGTATAACCGACCATGCATTTGAATATCACAAATATTTTATAATTAATCTGTTTATAGTAAGTATTACAATAAAATTTGTTAAATGCGTTAAATTAACAAACATTTATTAGATACCTATCGAAAAAACGACACTTTGCGTACTATTAGTATTTATTTCTCATTTTTTCACGGAGCTCTGCGGCACGTTGACTTTTCAACTATCCGCGCGTGACTGTGAACCAAGAAGTGCTTGAGTGGACTTCAAGCACTTCTTGACTGGGACACATTTTGAGCGCTCGTGGTGTATCTAGCTAGGGTATTTAATATCGTTGATACTTCCATACTAATATTATAAATGCGAAAGTGTGTCTATCTGTCTGTTACCTCTTCACGCTTAAACCACTGAACCGATTTTGATGAAATTTGGTAAAGAGATAGAACGGGCACAAGACGGTGCCCGCGACTTCGTTTACAAAGAAAATTTTGTTTGCCTTTCTGATTTTTCGATTCGGCGAACCGACGAATGACAGGCCATCACATTTACAATTTGATAGTGCTAAGTGAAATTTTGTTTCTTCTGTGAAGTTAATATTAACAATTTCAGGAATTCACAAAGATTTAGGTAGGAAGTTGGCTACTTACATGAACCAAGACCACAAGAACGGCGTCGAGCTTTATAAACGCGGATCGACACTCAACATAAAAGTTAAGTTGCTGTTCAAAATCATCTTCATAGTCAACAGCTTGAACAAACTTATTAATCAACTCAGCACACGCTTTGCTCTCATCTTCCACAGTCACAGCGCTGGAACAAAAACAAATATCACATTAAAAGTAAAGTAGGTAATAATTTGCTGTGTCTTGTATGAAAAAGATCAGTTTCACCATTGATGTAAGTGGTGATTTCTACATTGTAATTAAATTCGACGCCTCAGAGACGTAGTTTCCCGATGCAGTGCTATTCTGCAAGAACAAACCTACTTTTTACCGCGGTCCTAAATGACATTAAATTGTTTGGATTCTGAGTACGACCATTAGTAGTGATAATGGCCTAATATAACATAATATCAACTTACTTTATGGAATCATGCAGTATGCAGCAGAGCCGCATAAGACTGGAAATTATTATATGGTCCTCAATGGTTACAGAGTTGAATCGCGAAAAGAATATGGAAAGCACTGTCTTCGCCATCATTGTGCGTGCACTGGACGTTTGAACCAATTCAACAAGCGGCATAAAAGCATCCTGTTTCATGAAAAAAATCATTATAATAAAAGGACTATTATTAAGTTTTATTGAAAATGTGAAATGCAATTAATTCTTTATTACAACTATTGTAAGCAATATCCATTACAATCAACAAAAACCACTCAAAACTAGTGAAGCTTTTTAAACTAGGTCTTTTTGATGTATAATAATTATTGTTTAAAAAGAAGTTAAAACTCAAAATGTTTAAAATTAATAAATAAATTAAATGAAAACATTTTTATTGAAATTGAAAGAGCAATAAAACTGTTAATAGTCCAACATATACCCATTCCTTTGTAACTTACCATTAAAAACAGTTCTTCAACATCGGGAATTGATCTAAGTATTCTCTTGATGACGAATTGAAAATTGCCGGAAAATTCATCAGCAGGTTTGCCACAGTTTATCATATAACGAATTGTGCCCCGCAGTATTACGTTTACATGTTGCGTCTGTAAGTAAACAATGATATTTAGTTATGCACTGAATCTTTTCCATTTTATAAAAAAAAATGCTGAATCTGTTACCCAATCATTAATAAACGAAGAATAAGCTTGGACAAGTTACTCCATGATTGTCCCTGTTCATTAAATTAGAAATGGCACTTGAGTGATATGAACAAAAGACGGAGTAACTAGTCTCATGGCGCGATTACATTTGGTCGTTAGCCCGAATACGAGTGCCAATGGAATTCGGATAAACGACTAAGTGCAAATGAACGGAGTCCAGTACGCCCGTATTCGGGTAGTTTTCTTTTTGGTTACCCGACACCGTCTTCCAGCCCGTATTCCAGTGTAAATATTGCTTCGCGTGCCCGAATTCGAGTAATGTCTTTCGTGCACACGAATACGGGCTAACGACCAAGTGTAATTGAGCCATAAGCTTTTCTCATCATCATCGTCAGCCTACTACTGTCCCCACTGCTGGGACACAAGCCTTCCCTATGGATGAAATAGGGAGACTGGGCCATGACCCCCCACGCAAGCCTAGTGCGTATTGGTGGCTGCTAACGACTGCAGATGCTGCCGGGACAAAGTGCTTAACGTGCCTTCCGAAGCATGGAGGACCTCGAAATAGTACATTTTTGGTCACACATCCAATGACAGACCATTGCGAAAGTTGCTTGATTCCAACGATCGCAGCCGAACGCCCTAACCACTGGCGCCATAGAGCTCTTCCAAGTCTAAGCTTGATCCTCATTTATTAAAAAGGGGGTTAATGGTTTACCTAAATTCTCAGTTTAAAATATGTATAAAGATTTATTTAACTATAGCTCAAAATGGTACTGAGTGCGTTTAAACTTACCGATAAATGAGTACAGGCGAACTGGATCCATGGTTCTAACACTTGTAGGAAATTAAATGTTGATTTCATCGAACTTGCTATTTTCCACCAAGTTTGAACTAAAGCTTCTGGTGCTAAGTTCCGGTGGTGGTCAGCTTTGCACAAATGTTCTCCAAGGGATGCCAATATATCACTTAACAACACTAAAAAAGTACATGGTAACTTTGTAACTATAAAATTGGCTTACACAACCGCGATAGTAGTTCATACTTGCAAATTTATAATAATGAAATGTACCCTTAGCACGCACCAATATCGAAATATCGAAATATTATCGTTAAATTTGATTGAATTTAACTATTCGAATTCGATATTAGTTCGTGCGAAGGGTACAGAAGCACAAATTTTTACAGCTTCGTAATCGTATCGTCATCGTTAAAGTTTATACGAAAACTAAGCAGCGCCCCTACTAGACGTAAGAACAAACTGGCTCCTTCCATATAAAATTTGACGATGACAATACGTTATGATTTTATTTATTTTTTAAGCATTTAACTGCTAGATGTAATGTGGGTTATCTACAATGCGAAGAGATGGCGCTGCCTTGCAGCTTAAAGCTAGGAAAATTTCGACGCGGCTAATAGGGTCGTGGTAGCATAATGGTCAGTGCATTCGCCCGGATAGCGAAGGATGCGGGTTCGAGTCCCGTCCGCTGCCTGGTCCGTGTGGATTATTTTCTAGTAAACTTTTCTTTAGATTTAAACATCTAGCAGTTAAATGCTTAAAAAATAAATAAAATCATAACTATAATTGCTATTTCTTCTTTCAAATGTTTAATACTTGAAAAAGTATTCATTTGACATTGTGGGTTACCTACAATGCGAAGAGATGGCGCTGCCTTGCAGCTTAAGGCTAGGAAAATTTCGACGCGGCTAATAGGGCCGTGGTAGCATAATGGTCAGTGCATTCGCCCGGATAGCGAAGGATGCGGGTTCGAGTCCCGTCCGCTGCCTGGTCCGCGTGGATTTTTTTCTAGTAAACTTTTCTTTAGTTGACAATACGATTACGAAGCTGTCAGTTCGTGTTTGGGCCTCAGCTTTGGGTTCAATATAAACTTTGTCTCGCGCGGCATATGAACATTTACTCAGAGCGAACATTGGCTTGTGCGACAGTCGCAATTGGGACGAAAACTGACAATACTCGCCGCCAGTGACGTTCACATACTCTGGCACGAAATAATTCACGATGTGCATTGAAATCGATACAAAAATCTAGTTCAAGTCAGGGTTTAATTTTAAAATTACGTTATTAATTGTAATGATGACCTAACGTGTAGAAGTAGGAGTTTACAATACTCCTTAAGAGTTTGGTAAAGCATTATATTCTTTACTCGTATATTTGATGCTCTGCCAAACTGACTCACAGTAAGAGCTCGTTCCCACTTGTCGGGTGTCGGATCCGTATATTAATCGGAGGTTCCAGTGGTAGAGCATTATATATGAAGCTATTCACACTTATCGGAAACCGATTTTGTGTCGGCTCCGACAAGACGTAACGTGTTTTGCCAGGCCTCTACGCCCGGAAAAAAATCGTGTCGGATCTCGCTCGCCTATAATTAAGAATGGCGCTGTTCATATTTGTCGGGTGTCGGGGCTGACTATCCTCCCCCGCTACCCCTTGTTCCGTCCGTAATGTAACCCTTCTTCAGTACAAATGCAATATCCAAGTCCTGTATCTTGGTAGTTTATGTTCACTAATATTTGAGTCAGTAGATCGTTGAATGTTGATATTGACATCCTAAAATAATTGAAACACTTAATTTCGTCACTTCTCAATTCTGTTATTAAGTTCTGAAATGTACCCAAACTCAATCTTTCCCTCAGGATTATGTGCACCCAATATTTACTTTCCTTGGCTCTCTTTCTTTGTTTTCTTAAATAATAATAAGTACATCACAACAAGAACCTCGTCGACATCCATCGTGCACAGTCGGCTGGCGTAGAGTGCTAAACACTGTGGCCGACAACCGAAGTTTGAACAAAGGCGCCGACATCCGATTAATATACGGATCCGCCATCCGACAAGTGGGAACCAGCCGTAGATATATCGGACAGTAAATATTCGTAACCCAAAATTATATGTTTTGAATGTAAATCAAAATTCGTATATTTACCCATGTTGTCTGCAGATTTTTGGACCATTTCTAAAATTTTGGACGCCTTTTTAATGACACTTTCAGACTCAAAAGCATGCAGGAGACAGTAAAGAAGTAATTCACTGTAACAAATTTTCAATTAAGTCACCTTCGCAGTAACACTGCCTCGAATGCCGGACGGAAACCAGCATGGCACACACTCTATTTACAGCTCGCCACAGAGCTACCCCACTAGAGACCGCATATAACAGCCCCCCCCCCCCCCGGTTAGTGACCCGTATAAATTTGATAAAGTATTTTTATCTCTCTTGTGGGGGCCCCGGGGGGCCTAAGCGGCGTCATAAGTGTGTGATGCGCAACCAAACCTTGACGTGACATGTCTGGTGCAGCATCAAATCAAAACATGGCTTACCCTTCCCGCCCTGAATGCCTATACTTAGACGATTTTCGAAAATTAAAAATTTGTAAAGCGGTCTAGTGGGGGTTCACAGTGGGCCTCAACTTCCGCTTTTTTAAAGCGCGTTAAAAAAGCACTGGTATAAAACAAGTAAATGCCTTATTAATTGTTTAAATGGCGACGCTGGTTTTTTTTTCGAGCAAACGTTGTATTTCAAACCCTGGATTTTGGGCATAGAGTTTAAAATACAAGATTGGCATCATTTTAGTATCGTCGGATTTTACGGGTACGAATAAGGGGTAAAAGGTATAAAGTAGAAATTTTCATAGAGCGTGTATTCCTATTGCCGAAAACGACAAATAACAGAAAGAAATAGGACCTTCACGCTAACAATAACGCTATTATTCACTAGATAATTACTTAATTTGCTTTTCTTTTATGATACAAGTAAATGAGATTGGCAGTTTTCTCACTCAATAATTATTCATTAGCTCTTGTTTTATTAAATTTAAATTCTACTATCAAATTTTATGTCTTTAACATACTAGTAACATAGTATAGTAGTAACATACAAATACCTATTGCTATAAATATATACATACAAATTTTCCATATCTTCACATTGCTGAAGTAGTTCATCTAGAAGGGTCTGTTTGCATTTATTAGAATTAAGAGTACCAAACAACAGCCAATCAACAGCTGGTACATAGAGATTCAAATATTTGTCTAAAGTTAGTAACTGTGTTTCATATTTCTTTCTTATCATTGGATGGAAGATCTGAAAACAAAAGTGACATGACAAAATCTTTAAAACTTAAAATTATATCTTTCTTCAAAATAAATAGCTGTACCTGTTGATATTCCTCCAAAAATTCTTTCAAATTGTTATAAAAAAAATCTTCACTTTCTTTGCCTAATAATTTAGAAGCTACAGTACATAAATAAAGACGTAAATATACTGCTACTAATGGATTCCCTATCCCTCTAATCATGACTGTCAACCTGATAATGGTAGGTTTTATTTCATCTTTGGATAAAAATACATAACATTTTAGAAGTGAAATTTCCATATACAATCGCGGGAGCAGTTCTCTTATTGATGACATTTTGAACAACCAATTCTGGCATGTCTCTTTTGCAGTTTCTGGTATTGAATTAGGATCAATTTCATTTATATCCTTGACCACATTTTGTCTGAAAAATATAAATATATTAGAGCTTAGTATGTATTCTAGATTAACTTCATCACAGAGCAAGATATTATATATGTCAAATGATATACGATGTCAATGAGAACAATGAGCCCGCGGAAGTAAGTGCGTTTTATTTTTTTTATAAATAGGTCCGACATATGACTCCACCCCACCTGATGTTAAGTGACGGTGAAGTCCAGACGCGAAGATGGCAGGTAGAACTGCTGTATCAGCATACAGCAGTTCTACCTGCCACATCAGCCATCCTCACCCTGCCGGCCTGCATGTTGTTTCTTGACGCCTCTTTTAAATGATCCCAGGTTGTAAGAGGGAGGAAACACGTGAGCGGGCAGGGCATTCCATTTACGGATAGTGCGACAAAGAAATGAGTCACCAAATTTCTTTGTACACGTTGGAATTATGGCCACAGTTAGACGGAGATAACGTTGGCCAGCGCGCGTGGTTCTCTGAAGGAAAGGGGAAGGTGGAATAAAAGAGAATAATTCCTCAAAACACTCGCCGTGGTACAGACTATAGAACGCTCTTAGTGACGTCGCGGCGTACTGAGGGCTATCGTTTTTTGTCTCACCAGATGGCGCCACTGTTGAGTGAGGTCCTGAAGTGTAACTTTTAAAGTTAGTAAACACGCTCGTGATATCAAAGTTTACATTTTAATACAAAAGAATCGTATCTTAAACATAATCGCCCATGCCACAGTGTTGCGCAGTCCCGTTTTGTTCGGAAAAAAGAAGGACAATATTTTTTCTTAGCTCCGCTTTTAAATAACTGACAATCATTGACACGTAACTCATATTTGCCATAATAAGTCTGATTTATTACCAAATATTCACAACTATTATTTTAATTAGAAAAAAAACGCGTAGTCAACCCGCAAGCTATAACATTTGACATTTCGGAGACCTCACGCAACACAAGCGCCTCTAGCGGCGGTTTGAGACGCGATAGCGACGCATTGAAGAGCCTCGAGGTGTTTAGTGACCTCCTCATCGCCTATGATGCGGATCGCGCGCCGCTGTAACCTATCCCAAGCATCGAGCAGGTACTTGCGGAGCCATCCCAGAGGTGCCATTCTACGCAAGACCGCACCTGCGTCTTATACAACAAGCACAGTTGCTCGGGCGTGAATAAACGCCGCACCTTGTTCAGGACTCCGAGTTTTCGTGAGGCCGTTTTTACCACGCTTACGATGTAATTCTTTGTATTTAAGTCACAGTGAATTTCCATACCGAGCATGGTGATACTGCTCTCTAGCGCCAGTGTGGTGCCCTGAAGAGGAGAACATTAAAGGAATGGCAACGTTTTTGCCGTGAAAGTGCAGAACTGGGTTTTCTTAGCATTGAACTCAACTAAATTCCTGGTACCCCATTCAGAAATGTGGTCCAAAGCCTGATTGAGTTCAATGACAAGATTCTCCCGATTCTCCTTGGTTACCGCCTGTCCAGCCGCTGCTTGTCCGACATACTCCGCATGCACTGTACTATCGTCTGCATAGCAATGAATATTCCCAAGCGGAACTAAGTCATTGCTATGCAGCAGAAAAATAATGGGGGGTAGGACGGAGCCCTGAGGAACGCCGGCATTCACTGACATGAACCGCTAACTGATACCATCCGTAAGGACACGAATTCTACGCTCATGCAGGAAGTCAGCTACCCAAGATCAGAACTGGTCCGACAGACCGTATGCCGGAAGCTTGGAGAGAACGCTTTTGTGCCAGACCCTGTCGAACGCCTTGGCAATGTCAAGGCTGATAGCCAACGACTCGCCCCGCTTATCGATAGCCTCACCCCAGATATAAGTCAAGTAAGCTAGAAGATCACCCGTCGATCGTTTCGGTCTAAAACCATATTGATGATCAAGGATTAATCAGGGAGTGATCCTCTAGGTAGCGGGTCAGATGGTTGTTAAGGACCTTTTCTAGGACTTTACATAATACTGAGGTGACTGCTATTGGCCGGTATGTAGCCGGGTCTGAGCGATCCCCTTTTTTGGGCACCGGTTGCACGTTGGCATCTCTCCAAGTCTCCGGCACATGCCCCAAAGAATACGAGCATTGGTACAAGCGTGCGAGCACGGGAGACAACTCCGCTGCACATTTTTTCAGTACTACTGCTGAGATGCCATCAGGTGCACTAGCTTTCCGGGCGTCGAGTGATTGCAATTCGGCACGGACCTCACGCTGCCTGATTTTAATATCAGGCATCATCAGACAATTCTGCTTTGCACCTGCCCAGTGTGGCTGGTTCCCAGTAGTAAACGATATCAACAGGCTAATATTACCTAATTACATAACAGTGATAAAGTATATTAAAAATGCATATTCTTAACTACTTACTTATAACTTTTTCCCTTCAGTCTGTCAAACACCAAATCTCCAAATGTCTCCAGTATATCAGTTATCAGTACAAATTTACTTGGATAAAATTGCATAACATTAACATCAGATAACATTTTTGAACACTGAATACCAATTTTAAAGGCTTTCACTCTTTGCTCTGATTCCCATGCCTGAAAAGAATTTCATAATATAAAATAATTTGTGCATGGGGGTGATGACGGGGTACAGTAAACGAAATTCTATTTAGTCCATCAGTTAGATGATCAAAAAATTATGGGCTCGTATTTTTTCTTTATCCAATCAACCAATAAATGACAAAGTTATAGCGCGTCAAGGTTTGGGAGTAGGGGCTCGTGGCGTCACTTTTAAGTGAAAATTGTACCAAAACGAGACGTCATGCGATTTTTCAAATCAATATATCTCTGAAATGTTTATATTATGTGAAAAAAGAAAAAATACGTGTCCAATACTTTTTGATAATCTACCTGATAAACGAGGAAAAAAAATTAGTCATCATCCCTATTCTCCGACGACTTAAAAGGGGGTAGCGGGTTAAGGGGGGTCTGGCGGCCCCCACCGAATCTGGTAAAATCGTTCCAAAAATCTTGAAGAGGGTCGAAAAACAAGCAGTATAAGCTTTTTACCGACATTACAACCCCAAACGAAAACACAGTAATGGCGAAAAATATGATTTTTTGTGATTTTTATTTTTTTCAACCACTTTAATTTATTTTTAAATGGTTTAAATGCAATTAAAAATTTGTGTTTGATGTGTGGAAGTCCCCTGAATTTTTTCAGATTTTTTGGTCAAGTAAAAACATGTGAATTTTAGGTTTAAATGCGAAAAAATCGTGAAAAACGGGTCATGTTCAAGATTCAACCCTCTTATTTTTAGGGTTGTTTTCATTTTCCCGAGGGGTTAGGGGTAGGGGTTTTTGAGATCGCTGATCCCGAATTTGATGTCAAAAAAAATTTTTGAACAACAAATTCACCCATAAATATTTATTAACACAGGTTTGATAATGTAAAAAACCCCTATAGAGATGTATTTTTTATAGCAAAGACGCATTATACCAAGTACGCCCCGTAATTTACCGAAAGTTGAAAATTCGAGTTTTTTTCAAAAAATCGCCCCGCTCACCAGTATTGACCAAATTGAGTCCAATTGCCTGCATTCGAAAGAGGGCGATTGCCGCTATCTATACTATACAGCACTCCTCGGGAAAATTAAAACAACCCTAAAAATATAAGAGGTTTAAATCTTGAAAATGACGCGTTTTTCACGATTTTTTCGCATTTAAACCTAAAATTCACATGTTTTTACTTGACCAAAAAATCTGAAAAAATTCAGGGGACTTCCACACATCAAACACAAATTTTTAATTGCATTTAAACCATTTAAAAATAAATTAAACTGGTTGAAAAAAATAAAAATCACATAAAATCATATTTTTCGCCATTACTGTTTTGGTTTGGGGTTGTAATGTCGGTAAAAAGCTTATACTGCTTGTTTTTCGACCCTCTTCAAGATTTTACCAGATTCGGTGGGGGCCGCCAGACCCCCCTTAACCCGCTACCCCCTTTATAGATATACATTTAATGTTATGGTTGGAAACATAGAGGATTCTAAACTCAATGTATATCATTCTAAGATCAGTTGCACAGGTTTTTTTTGTTCAGTCTATTCCAATCATATATTTCTTATAACCAATATACAGTAAAATAGTTATTCTGAACATTAAAAAAATATTACAATGAATTAATAATAGATCAGATTAAAGTAGTATGTTAATAAATAAATTAAGTCATTACATCAATTCTGTGTTCTGCTATAAATTGAAAACAGATCACCCCCACTAGAGATCACACATGAGGGTAGTACTACTACATATGCGAGTGACACGCCTCCAGACATTGAGCAATGCCAATATATCATTTCACCTTTGTCATCTGACCGTGATGTCACACTAATGTTTCCAATCAAAACACTGCTTACCCTCAACATTGGAGATTTCGATTTCAACGAAAAAAAAATGCAGGCTCTAGTGAAGCTGCTCTGCTAAATTCATATCATTCATTCATATATATTAATGCATCCGCTGGGGAAGAACCTAACAAATATATAATTAATAAATAAAATTCAACACCATACCTTCTTGATTTCATCATTAAGCACATTAATCTTTGTCACAAACTCCTGCTGGCTTAGTCCAATAGTTTTTCTAACAGATCCTTCTTCAAAATCATCTAACTGCTCAAGTCTATGTTTGACTTTTTCATTTAAATTGGATACCTGTCTAAAAAGAGCTGAAATAGAACTAACTTAAAATAAAAAATAAAAAGAAATCAAAGAGATACTTATTAGCACCAATACATAAGGTGGGGTAGTATAATTTGATGAATTTTATTAATGATGTATGTATTACTTTTCTCTCCTCCAGGCAAGAAACTGCTTACTATAGTCAGTTTTTCTCCAGTAGTGTATTTGGTCAGGATATTGGAACGTCTTGCATTCCAAGCATTTAAATAATTTGTAGCATCATCAACCAAGGATTCATTTGGACTTCCATCCTACACAAATAATAAAATTTTATAGAAGCACATAAGTATGATGTTTCTAATGTAGTAATATTTAATTTATCCAAAATACCTATATAATAAAATCCTTGTTTTATAATATTCACAATTTGTTGGAGGGAGGAAAAATTTGGATAAGTTATTCAAAAGAGTAGTTTCAAATTTTTTTATTATAATGCACACTTACCTCATCTTGTTGTTTCATTTGTTCAAATCTTAAAAGAGGATCTATTTCTTCAAAACCTGCACTCCATTTGCTGAGATTTTCAATGAAACTCTTACTTGTATTTGTTTGCTGTTTCTGTTAGAATATTCAAATACATGTATTTAAACAGTGGTGGTTGTATAATTAGAAACACTACCGACGGTCCATAATACTTAAAAAAATATTGTTTTATATACTTAATCTATACCTTAAAACTGATTTTAATGTTTGTCCATAATGTAATATTGAAACTGCACTTGTGTAATGGGATTTATATTGTTTTTCTAATAAATGATAAATCATTGAACATAATGTTGTCCTATTTGATGTTTAATTTCAAAATAAAAACGATTGTAGTGAAGTATCTAACATAATGACAAGCAGAGGCGGCTTTACCTATAGTGCAGGGCTCAGACCAAATAAAAAGTTTGGTCTGAGGTGCAGGGTGTGCGGTGCACACGGGCGCCCCGGGTCTAAGGGGGCGCCGGCACCGGGCGCCGAGCGCCCTCTACTCTAATACGACATCTCTAAGGCGCTTTGCAGACGACGGGGCGGGGCGGGCCGGTCTATTTCGCCGAGAACGATAGCACAAAGTGAATCCTATATTACAAACGCACACAGAGGGCAAAAAGACCGCGCCGCAGGTGCCCGGCAGGCACTGGCGGCGCGGCATGTCCGCGGCTGCCCGCCGTGGATCATACATACACACCAGTTTATATGCAGTAACGCAGACGGCGGCGCGGGGCGGTCAGCTCAGTCCGCGCCACGCGCTTTTTAGTGATGGAGTATTCACTAGAACGAACGTCCTGAACTGACCGCCTCTGCCCGTCGTGTGCTTTGTGTACGCGGCGCGGGCAGCCGCAGACATTGACGGGCAGACGCGGTTTTTATTGCTTCGCGGACAAAATGCCCACCCTGCCCCGTCGTCTGCAAAACGCCTAAAGATGCGCCGTCGCCGCTCGCGGAACCGGCGGGACGGCACACTCAAAAACCCAGCCGGCCTTTCAGCACGGTAATAATATCATACAGTATTCTATCTTCATACAAACGGTCGGAAAGCGAGTCATACCTACGCCACTCGAGTTCGATGTGCTCTCGGCGTGCACCCAGTCGCGAATGCGCCGCCGCGCCGCAACGACGACCGAACGGTCTGAATTGTTTTTTATGCAGTTAGCCGTGCTTAAACGTGCGTTTTGTATTGTAAATATTTGATTTAATTAAGTGGATACCTACATAATTTAGTATGGAAAAGAACAAACGACGATCAATATCGTACAACAGCACAATTGCTGTTTTTGGTTGCTTGAACTCTTTAATAACACACCCAGAGATATCATTTTTTAAAGTACCTGAAATATTGGAAAGGTGTCTTAACTTTATAGAATATTTTTTATATACCTATCTACTAGTACGTTATTTGTTTCTGATAAATAATAAATAAATATATATTTCCAACACTCACACCAATTAGCCTAGCCCCAAAGTAAGCACTGTAACGCTTGGGTTATGGGATGTTAGGGTAACGGATAGAATACATATATTGTACATATATAAGTATATTTATATAAAAATACATATTTAACATCCATGACTGGAGAACAAATGCTCGTATTCATCACACAAACATCTGTCCCCACCGGGATTCGAACCTGGGACCTCTCGAGTCGGCGACACCATGAAACACGGCGTATAAACCACTCGACCACGGAGGTCGTCAAAATATTAGGTATTTCGGTTTTTCCATCGGGCAAAATATCTGGAATAATATATAAATACGTGGTTAGGATGAAAAAAGAGACAAACGAGTAATCTACCTACACTCGCGTTAAAAACAAAACTACATAAAATACTGTAGGCTGGCGGCCCTACCGCGTGCCAACGCAGCGCTCGGTGTAGGCATTTATTTTCAAGGACAGGGCGGAGTCACAATACTGTATAGATAATATTACCGTGCTTTCGGCGCATGCCGCCACGCCGCGTAGCAAAGCAAGCGCGCCACCACAAGTTGCGTCTTTACCTACTCTACACAATTACTTTTATTTCAACGTGAAATCAGCCTTAAAACAAATAATTAAAGATTATATTGAAGTACTGCCGCATCACTACCAAAGGCACGTGTCGGCACCGTTTTTGATTCGTTTTAAAACACGCCGACCATCATTGCTAACTCGGCTGCATTAGAATGACTAAAAGTTCAAATTCAAATAGCAAGGGACGTTGTGGAGGTAATTTTCAAAGGCCTTCTGTACGAATGCCGCCAATTTTGTTTTACCGTTTACCGCTACTCCGTAGTTTTGCAAAATAAGCCTTGATTCAATGAATTAAGTACTATCTTTGAGTAAACATGTAAATAAGAAGTAAGTCGGCTTTTCTTTTGATAAAAATTATATATTAGATATGATTTGGTTAATTAATTTTTCACACAATTATTGCGACATGCATCGGGATCAGTACCCCAACACGAACCATTATCGAATTCGAATAGTTTGCAAACCGAAGTGTCAATGTCAAATTTTGTATGGAAACTTGAACAGCAGCGGCACAAAGTACTAATGAGAACTAAAAATCAGTACACATTTGACAATGACATTTCGGACTCGCAAATGATACGAATTTAATATTGGTTCGTGCTAGGGGTACAGATGTCATCAAAAACAGCCAGCAAAAAAAAATAAACAACTGGTGATAGTGATATCAAAGTAAACACCTAGGCATATCTAGGATTTCTTTTCCTTTGTTCATCCGAGTGCAGTACGTGCGGAACAAACTGATGATTCCACTACGCCATTAGATATTTTAAATTACTTGTTTACGAATAAATTGATTTCAGTATTCCCAAATCTGTCCACAGCACTGAGGATTTACCTCATACTTCTAGTCATGGTAGCACACAACGAAAGGTCATTTTCTAAACTAAAAATAATTAAACACTATCTAAGATCAACATTGTCGCAAAGTAGATTGACAAATTTATCGTTAATAAGTATTGAACATGAAATTAAAATTGAAATCAGTGACATTGTTAAAGATTTCGCTAATGCAAAAGCACAAAAAGTATTATTTTTGTAAAAATATTTGTTTGTGTGTACATCTGTGTGAACGTGTGTCCTGTAAGATATTATAGTTTTAAATTAAAATAAGTACAAAGTTGTGATTTTTTATTGTTGTAATTTGCACCTGATTTTTTTTTGAAATTATAACTGTAAATATCCCATTTTGACCCCGCTCCTACTAGGAGGCGCCAGGGTACTGGTGGTACACTGGCGCCACAAGGGCTAGAGCCGCCTCTGATGACAAGGACCGCTGGTAGTGTTTCTAATTATACAACCACCACTTTATAGCAGTTTGTTTCTCGAAGTAAAAGAACAAAGTAACAAACTCTTACAGACAGACTCAAACACTTCAATGAATGAAATAGTTTTTAACTTTACAATAAGAATAGAATGTGACAACAAAAAATTTAATAGAAGTCTCCGAGTGCTGCATAGAAAAATACTTATCATCAAAGAAATAGAATACTGTAAATAGTTTTAACTTCTGTTCGCAACTCTAAACCATAAAATTATTATTTTTAAATAACATACATACCACACTAGTGTAAATTGGTTTTAAGGGATGACTACCAACGTCAAAGCTAGGATACTCATGACGGAGACGACCCGTTTTCTTTTTAAAAGTCCTAAAAAGGCAATAATAATTAAAATGAATTCAAATAAGAAAACAATTCCTGTTTCAATATTTACCATTCATAATGCAGAGGCATGGCTAAACCATTTAGCTAATGCTATTAAAAATCAGAAAGTAGTGCATGAAGTCAGTTGAATACAATATTAATTGTATAATTCAAAAGAAAAATAAAATTCATGCATATGCAGTATTTTTTAGAACACTGTTTTTTATCTATCCTGATTACTATAAACTGTGTTTATAAATGTCATCTGAACATCTGATCCGGCACTTTTCGTGATAATCAGTGCTGCCAACCCGAATTTTAGAAAATTAGTAGATTATGTGCCAAATGTTGGTAGAAGTTGGTAGAATGTAAAATGCAAAATTGGTAGATCTACCACCTCAATTTAGAAGATTTTTTAAGATTAAAAATGCATGCAATGCAATGCAGAGCACACTTCAGATCACACCTACATGATTTGCAATAAAAATATCCGGCACCCTTAGTAATTTCTTAAAGCCAACCTGCAAATTCCTTGTCTTTCTCCCATAATTTCGAATATTTTTGGTCATAGTGCCTTTTTCTAGGTTTTCGTGGCGAAGTTCCTAACCTAGAACTATGTGCATCGCTTTCGCTGCTGTCAGAATCCATTATATAAATAAATGCACGCAACATAGAACAAACAGCAATCAGCACCGTTAATACGCAGTTAATTAGTTTTTACAATAAAACAGGAGCAAAGATTCAACATTAATGGCGCAACAAAGCAACCGGGAATAGGCCATAGTAGGAATAGTAAAATATGGGCGCGAAACGGTGCGAACGCCGAATTCATGGCGAAATGTTCCTTTTTTTTGTGGTTTATGGCCTGGACTCTATGTATGCTTGACGCATCGTTGCATGGCTCACGCAATACATCACAACGTCGCTCGTCGATATAAAAATAATTCAAAGTGGTGATATGTCAAACTAATTAAAAAATAGGTAGTTTTTAGGTCTAGGGTGGTAGATAGGTAGACTGAAGTGAAAATTGGTAGATCTACCAAAAAGTTGGTAGATATGGCAGCACTGGTGATAATGTTTGTCATTTTGATAGCAGGTTGTCCATAACACATTCTATGGTTTTTTTTTTATTATTTTAATGGCTCGCACGGCCACGACAGGGTAAAAGGTAAGGAAACCAAAATAATGAAATAAAATGGTTGTGAAAGTGAAACGGAATTTGGAATTCTATGGATTGAAAAGGAGAGACACTGTTTTTTTTTCTCTTTTATAGCCTGCACGGTTTGTGCGTCAGCCACGTACAAGTGTAAAGGTAGGGAAACAGGATAAAAAAGGAACGGAAATTTAGAAGGACAGGATCAGGTAAGTATTTACAGTTTAATATTGTGTTTCTGGATAAAATTAGAAATACATAAATAAATATCATACTTCATACAATAAAGCAAAGTATTTACAGAAGTCGGGAGGGGAATACGAAGGGATGTTAAGGAGTCAATAAAAGAGGAACAGTCATTTATGGAGCACGCGAAAAAAATATGGTTTAAATCACCAACATCAGCGCCACAATTACACACACTGCTATTGACTATTCCTAATCTAGCCAGATGAGAAGGAGTGCAAACATGACCCAGTCTCATCCGAGTTACAATAGACGTCGTTTTCTTGCCAAATTTAAAATTATAAAACCAAGGCTTTGTAGGAATGAAAGTTTGAATTTGTGAGTAATGCTTTCCTTTGTTTTTACTAGAAACAGACCATATTTGTTCCCAGGATTCACGAAGATCCGAATTAGGAAGACCTAAAAGATCGTTAATGAAGTTTTTGTATGGAAAAATATCGCCACAATCTACAGCATCATTGGCAAGTTTATTCGCAATTTCATTGCCATAAATACCTACATGACTAGGTATCCAGGCAAAAACTACATCAAAACCTTTTAAATGATATTGCCAGAGATTTTTTCTACAATCTATAATAAAAGGATGATTGGTATATTTAAAAGGAAATTTATGTAGTGCTTGAAGCGCACTTTTAGAGTCAGAAAATATAACAGATTTTTGCAATTTCATAAGATTAATATATTCTAAAGCTTTATAATCCGTAGCATTCGCCAGTAAAAACAAAACTTTCAGGTGGTAATTTAATTTTTTGGACAATTTTTGATTGTTGATGATAAACTCCAACACCAACGTGGCCTGGGGAAGAGTTTTTAGATGCATCGCTATAAATGTAATGTCGATCTGGCCAGTCTCTATCTATGAATATATTAAAATCAACATTTGCAGAATAAATGGATCGCGATATATCTAAAGTAAAATAAATTTTAGGAACAAGAGTTAAAGCGTCATAGTCTGCAGAAAAAATAGAGAGACGTTGGAAGATGTGAGTAGGGGAATGAAAGAGTATGAGAGATAAAGAAATTGGGAACTAGTGGAGGAGCAAGTTTATCTAAAAAGTTGTCTGCTACATCCTTTGGAAGAAAAGCTGCACCAGGTTCCTCAAAAGCTGATCGAAACCGGCGTATATTTTGCCAAACTACAGAGGGTGAGACGTCAGGTGATAAAAATATACAAAAGGTCTTCCAGCCTTCCCATTTCTTTTTTTTAAGAACCTTTTTGTTTCGTTCATTACACAAGATAATAAATCAAAGTTTTCGTTCGTAGAATTTTCTCTATATAATTTTTCTGTAAGCTTTCTTTTTTTAACTGCTAATGAACACTAGTTATCCCACCAAGGGGGAGATGGAATCTTGTTACGATTATTATTTTTGACTGGGAACACCTTTTTTGCAGCTTGCAACAAAGTCAATGCAAAGGCTTCTGCACAAACTTCATGATTGTTTTGTTCGATGGACGGGAGGTTAGAAATTACCTGTTCTACTATCAACTTGACATCAACTTTAGAATGATATCAACTTAAATGGGTATTACGTTCAACTTTTTGACATAAAACAGTATCGCATAAACGTCACAAATGTGATACAGACTTAACAAGTTAGGAGGTGGTTTTTCTGTATCAAATTCCTTTATTTTTTAATAAAAAAGAGTAAAATGGCTCGTTTCGTGTTAGTAATGGACTATTTAGAACGTGCTCATGCCGAGGACATGCGTAGAAGAGATAAACCCCCTGTAGAAGAGATACAATTAGCTTTTTATGTTCACTAATTGTGATATTGTTTTGATGTCAATTTCACATTACGTATTATGCTCTCCGAAAAATGCGATATCAAATTAAGCGTATTAAGATCAACTCTTTAAAATGATATTAACTTGATATCAACTTAAATGAGTATTATGTTCAACTTTTTTACTTAAAACAGTATAGCATAAACGTAAAAAAAGTGATACAGACGTGATACCTCGTAACTTGTTACGAGGTGGTTCTGCGTGCACGCACTACAAATGACTGACAAGTTCACCGATAAATCTGTGAATAGGGACACGAAAAAAGTATCGATACTTTGTGGTATCGAGTACTTTTCGTTTCGATACCGATACTTTTGTACTCGATACTTTGTATTCGATACTTTTACTAAACGAGTACTTTTTGGCAAGTATCGATACCTTTTCATAGTTATTTATTTAGCGACCATATTGTTAGGAACTGTGATTGATTCGCCGTTTATTGTGCTTTACGCTTGACTGTATTTGATTTATTCAAGTATAACACTATTAATCTGTCTGTGCTGTGTATACCTATTTGAAACCACCTGAAAAAAAGACGGACGTAACCTCTTCTATAAATAATTATATCAACTTCACTCAAGATTATATAATCTTGAGTGAAGCGTGCCAATAGCAGCCGTTAACTACGTGTCAGATTCAAGTTAACATAAGTGGGTATAATGTTTTTTAATGATTAAAATTCAAGAAAAGTAAGTTCAATTAGAAACAAATCTGAAAAGTTTCATATTTTTATATTGTTTAAGATTTCGATCTTTTTAATTAACATTTAAATAATGAATGTAATATAAATGAACACTTTTTTAGTGTCAGAAATCACAGCTATTTGCTTTTCATTATATAATATAGCAATTTGTGAATTTACATGTCCTTTTTTTGTTTTTGATTATACGTACTACAATAAAATTCGATTGTTTTTCTTTCAATTTTAACACCCTTTGCTCATCAGGTCACAGAGGCTCCGATAAGGCCCTATGAAATGTACTCGATACTTTTGTTTCGATACTTTTACGAGTACGATACTTTTTTACCGATACTACTCATGAGTACAATATCGATACTTTCTATTCGATATCGTGTCCCTATCTGTGAAAGCACACACACGTACGGACTACTACGGTGCGGCTGGGGTGCGGCGCGGCGCTCGCGTCTCTTGACGGCGAGCGCCACGCCGAGCCGCCAGCCGCGCTCACCAATACATTCAAACGCGGATTTGTCCGCGGACTTGTCGCCAGCGGCAAATCCGGCGGATGGGCGCGCCTGTGAATGGTAGCCTTTACGGGCGCCCCGAGTACAGATTACTAAGATTATGGCCGTATACAGAAAGAAAGCCGAAAGCCGATCGGCGCTTATCGGCGCCGATCCTTCCTACATAAAGGAAGCCGATTAAAGCAGATCAAGCAAAATGTCGGACTCATCGGACGATGATTTGGTTTTATTAGAAAATGGTGTCAATTCTGACACTATTCTCTAAACCTAAACTTAAATTTGACAACAGTGTATCCTTGTCATTCTCTATACGGAATGAAAAGGAGAGATTGATGTTAAATTTAGTTTTAAGTTTAGAGAATCACGCCAGAATTGACACCAATGTGTATTTAAAAATGCGAAAAACAGCTATACATCCTATAAATAGAGAAAGGAAACGTTTCGGAGAATACCATCATTTAGTTGTAAAAAAAAAATTTGATGATCAAAGATTTTATACATATACAAGAATGACTCAAGAAACATTTTATTACATTTTGGATTTAGTGAAAAACCGTTTGATGAAAAAATGGTGCTATTGGCATAAACAACTATTCCTTCCAGAAGAAAGACTTGTTGTCACCATTTGATAAGTACGAAACAAATAATTTTAGCGCTTAGTTAATAAAAGATAAAGTTATTAGATTTATAAAAAGATTATCACTTAGATTGATTTAATCTAAGGATAATAATTCAAATACAAATTATTTATTATTCGGACTAGCGCGTGTCGGCGCTTATCGGCGCTGATCGGCGCCGATCGGCTTTCGGCTTTCTTTCTGTATACGGCCTAAGGCTAAAGACAGGTGGGAATCAGCCGAAAGAACGGCCGTCCGTTAGTGATTTCTTTTAATCTGTATTAGATGAATTTAGGTGTCAGTTTATAGCAAGGAACTTTTCTATCTGGAATGCTTACGAAACTCGAAACAATATAAAAATTCAAAAAATGTACTCTAACTAGTTAATCATAATATCAATTTTTGTTTCTATCTTCATAAGAGTGAAAAATACTCCGAGCAGGACAACGACGAAAGTTGAATCTGTCCCGCTCTTGCAATTGTCAGTGTTAATATAAATAATCAAATGGTAGTTTTCACATTATCCCGGTAACCATTTATAAGAACAAGAACGTACAGTTCGAGAGTTAAATTAGCGTTTTTGTTTGACTGCAGTTAGTATATTGATATCAATGCAACCAAAAATGTGTTTATTTTTACTAAAACGGATAACTTATCTAATAAAATTGTTTAAAATGATAGTATGTATGTAATGATAAAATCCTCTTCCCCCCGGACCTCGATAGCGAGTAGACGTCTCTCAAACCGCATCGCGTATTTTTATATTTGTTTACCAAATTAATTCTAAAATTTCATTACAAAATAATCAGTGTCAAAAATAGGAGTGCATAGGTAACGAGGAGCTCCTTTTAACATCTGAACGTGACCGCCAACGGTGTGAGCAAGAGGCCGCGAGTACTACTATACACCACCACTTCTCAAACAGCAACGCCCGCATTCTCAGCCCCGCCCATCACGACCAACACCAGCGCAGTTACAGCCCACGGGTACATCTTAGCGCTCCGCCTGTGCCACTGCTGACCAACAACAAAGAAGAGGGGCCGAGCTTATTTCTATTACACATCGGTGAGTGCCTAAGCTTGCTCCATTAAGTCTATGAGCTCCTAGTACCACGTTACTTGTGATTCTTTACAAAACTGAGCTTGCATTGTTTTAATTATTATTGCTGGTGCACAGCGCTTATTGCTTATTGCTATTGCAAACTCGCAACAATTCATTGGTTCCTGGTAATACAGATAGTTCATACTTCCTACATAAAGATAAGTCTACGCTCACTCAGCCTTACACACTATCCTCAGTTGGTTTATGCGTCCCTAGTTACAAGTAGACAAATAAAATGAGTACTCTGGATAAATCTATGTCGGACACAGAGATAACTAAAATTACACGGTCGGTCAATATCACCCCACCGAAAACTTCGAGTAATTTGACTGCTCGCTTGAAAAGAAAGAGGGGATACGATGTGACTGATGAACTAGAGAAGTTTAAAGACGAATTAAGGGGCATGTTTAATAATATGATAAAAACGCATGAACAGGAGTTTAAAAATAATGCCACTATTTTGAAGGAAATACAAAAAACAAATGTAAATATTGAAAATTCTATAGCATTTTTGTCCGCCCAAAATGAAGAATTTAAGAAACAAATTGAGAGACTTGAAGATGCTCGGAGGGAGGATAGGATAATACTATTGGAGGATAGATTAGAAAATTAACAACAGGACAGCCGCAAGGCCAATTTTGAAATAAAGAATGCACCTAAAAAAACTGATGAAACAAAAACCGACTTAATTGATATGGTACTTTGCTTGGGAAAAACAATTGGCTGTCAAGTAAGCAGTAGTGATATTAAAGATGTGTATAGAGTACGTGCAAAAAAAGATAATATCGTGAATCCATCAATTGTCATAGAAACCACCTCAACTCTCTTGAAAAACGAAATTATAAAGAAAAGTAAAGCATATAACTATAAAAATAAGGCTAAATTATGTGCAAGGGATATAGGACTACAGTTTTCTGAGAATAATCCAGTATTTATCAGTGAGCAGCTAACCGCTAGAGCTGCGCGTCTACATTTCCTGGCGCGTGACCTTGTGAAGTCAAAAGATTTTAAATACTGCTGGACTGCATACTGTAGAGTATA